CTGTCTCCCATCATCTCCCCGTCTCAGTCATTGAAGGCTCTTGTTATATCTGCAGGGAGCGAGACCCTGTTGCATGAGTTGTTGATCCACAAATCACTTTTATCAAGTGTTATTGATGTCCGACTGGTGTGAGTTTCAATGATTAGTTCCAAACCCTGCTCCTACCCCTTTCTCTGGTAACGCTCAAAGCATTTGATATCGAAGGAATTGGTTTTGCCCCAAACCTCAAGAGACTGCAGTAGCTGCTGAATCACTCCCTTTAGTTCCTTCTTTTGGAGGTGGCAGGCAGGCATAGGGTCAGAGCCATTCTTCTGTCACCTCTTGACTCGACACACGTCACTTCGGTTAATAAACGGTCGAGTTTACGCGAGGCTTCTCCTCGTGCAGGTCTGCTCTCAGTCCGTCTCCTCTCGAGCCAACTCCGATCTGTGCCCAACATTACCATCTTTCCACACCTCTGCAGTGCATTGCTTTATGTCGTGTTCTGTAATGAGTCGGTGTCAGGACCTGGTGGCCATCAAATTCGTGGGGCGGGGGGTGGCAATTCGACATTGAGCATGGGAAGGTGATATGAGGCTGTGGGCTCATTACAGACAAACTCAATCCTGGCCTTGCTCTATATTGAGCCCGCCAAGACTGCTCTGAGTGAGTGGTGCTATATAAATGCAAGTCGTTATATTTTGCCCACAAAATTATAGTCAATTCACTTTACAGTGTGTGCTGAGAAGCGTTTTAAGTCGACTTGAAGATGTGACAAGGCGCTATATCAAATGCAAGGCTTATCATATGACACAGAACTCACCTCTAGCAGCAGTCACTGGGAAGTCAACCATCGGCAGAACCTTGGCAGAATTTCTCCTCTCAGTCCAGGAGCGTGGAGGCGATCTGTGACATCCTTGCTGGTACCCTGTTTGAGATCATCTGACGGGGACGAAACCTGGGAATTTCAGCTCCGTGGAATAACTTCCTGGGACGCTGCAGTGTTTGAGGGAATCATCCCTGTGCTGGGTATGGGAGGTGCAGCCTTTTCCAGATTCGCAGTGTGGGGGGGAGAGGAGTTGCAGCATCAGGATGGTGTGCTTGTTTTGTAGCTTGTGGTGAGGTGGAGAGTTGTATTGGGTGGGGGGCTACTTTGGGGTGCAGTGGTACTCATTGCACGGTGGAACAGTGAGGTGAGATGTTTGTACGTCGGCAGCTAATAGGGTGTTCTCTGCGCAAAGATGTTTGATAAGAGAGAAGTCTGGTATTTGACATTTCCATACGACTGGAAGAAAGGAGTAGGTTTTCGTTGGGCTACTGGGGAAATGGGCGACATGGGGTTGTTTTACATAGAGCTGGGAGAAATAGGCTTGTAATAGAATGCAGTTAGCCCTCACCATCCCATCCTCTCTCTCCCCCCACTTCCCCCATCCCCAGCACCCACCGTTCAGTGCGCAAACGCACATACAGTAGCGTGAGATGCACCGTGGGGAAAAGACGGTGGAAAAAAATAGGGGTAGAAAAGGAAAATAACTCGGGTTGCTTCGCTCGCAATACTTTGAGGCGTTTCATTCAAGATTTTCCTCCTTATTTATGCGCCTGTTTTTTAAAAAATATATATACACAGGACAACGCAAAATTTACATTTATATTGCGCCTTTAAGGTCCCGAGGCGATTTTTTTTTACAATAATGGCTTGGGCATCTGCAGGGGTGGTGGGTGGGTGGGTGGGTGGGGAGAGGAAAGATGACCGAAAGTGCTTTGGTAAAGAAGTAGGTCCTTGCATGTTACAAAAGAAATGGTGGGTAGTGGCGTGTGCGTGCATGGGTGGGTGTGTATGTGTGTATATGCAAGCGTGTGTGAGTCTATGGTAAAATTCCAGTGTCCAGGCAAGTCTTTTGTTTCAAACTGCAGTTTCCCGACTTGAGTCCTCAGCTTGCGGAACTGGGCTTTTGCAGATTTTTTTTCCAGCCTCTGTGCGTCTGTGTGTCTCCTGCTGGCAAATCCTGACATCATTGGCAGCCAATGAGGTGTGATCTGGAGAAGTGCGAGATACCGAGACCTGCTCGGAATGGTACTATCTCTTTCTCTCTCTCTCTCTCTGCGCTCCCTCCCTCCCTCTCTGCGCTCTCTTCTCTGCGCTCTGAATGTTCCGCCCCCGCGGCAAAAAAAAAATCTCCCCTTTTTTTGTTAAAAAAATATATACACACCGGGCAGCACCAGCAAGAGGATCGTTAATTCGAGCTGTTGGATCGAAGAGGTTTTGGCTTATGGATGAGCACCGCCGGGTTAGGTCCACGGCGACATTATTAGAAGCAAGCCCTCGTTATCGTGCTTCGAGTTTGTTTTTTTCCTTTTTTTTAATATAAAAAAAAGGTTTAACAAAGGCTTTTCTACAAAGGCAGCGCCCCTTTTAAACAAGAATTGTGTAGATTTTCTTTTCTTCCCGTTGCACCTCCCCCCACCACTCTTTTCCCTCCTGCCACCCCCCATCCCCCCAAAAATAAATCTTCCTTTGCTGGGAAAATGGACTCTTCCCTTTACGTTAATAACTTAAAGCACAGGCATTGTAAGTGACACTCCCTTTTTGTCAGTGGATCTCATGGGAACTGTGGAATGTGTGTGTACTTGGTAAAATACTGCTACACCATCTTAATACCTGCACAGTGCTATAACGCATACCAATGAAACTTCACAAGAGGAGCCAGACAGCCGGTGCACTGCTTTGTCTTTTCAAACGCTATGCCGTTCCTGAGGAATCTCAGGTTTGAAAAGCAGTGATGAGCCAGTGGCTTGCCTTATCTAAGATTCCTAGTTAAGAGCAAGGCTCTGTTAACATTGTTCTTAATTCTTGCCCCAACAAACAACAACAAAAACAAGAACAACAAAACAAAATACCATTTGGATAGCGCCTTTCACGTTGGGAGGACGTCCCAAGGCGCTGGACAATCGGTGTTGCGGACGCAATCCCTACACACTAAAATAATCTGAAAATCATCAGGATGACGGTTAATTTCTCACCATTTGAGAGTTGTGTTTTGCAGTGCCACTCTTTCACCTCTTGTCCTTTCACCTCCACACCCACTGGCCCTAAAGTAATCGCAGATGGACAGAATGAAAGTCTTGTGTCTCTAGAGAGACTCAAGTTAAATAGGCCTTGCTGTCTCAGTCCAGTAGAGCATAACACTGCTGAATGTTAAAAGTCTAATCGCCACTAATTGGATATTCTCGCTCTGAATCCAAAAGGGTGAATAATACGGGAACCGACAGTGCAATTGCGGTGGGCGGGGGGAGAAGATACTTGGGGAAAATCATCGCTAGTTGGTGTGTCAACTGTTTGCGATGGAGTTGGAGATTTACAGCTCATCTGCTGTAAAGATGTTAGATGCTGCACATCTTGACTCGATGGACACGAACCATTAAGTCACAGAAAACCCAGGTGTAATTTCACACGTAAATACAGTGTTGTCCAGTTGTAAAGCTGTTGCTTGAATTCTGACTGTCCAAAACCCCCAGGAAATACAATACACTAGACAGTCAGGGATTTGGACCCAAGGGGGTTGGGGAGGGTAGAGGGCAGGAGGGTGTCCAAAGGCTCGAAGAGGAGGGTTTTGAGACCCAAAATGGCATAAAATGTTTGAAGGGGAAGAATGCAAAAGGGTACAGGCAAGGAGCGGGGAATTGGGATTAGAGTAGCAAACGCCAGTGGACAAGCTCACTCCCAAACCAGCGCAAGTTTAGGTTCAATGACCTCCTTTGCTTAGGACGGTCTCCTTTGCTGTAATTTCTGTGATTCTTTTGCTGGCAGGATAGGATGTCTGTGGCTTCAAACTGGTCAAGGCATTGCCAATAACTCAAATCAATTTACTCGCAGAGGAAAGTTGCCTGTGGTCATCATTTTTACCCCACGTGGTAAAAATAATCTACACTCGAATCTTGGCATTTTTTTTTAAACCTGTTGAAAAATGGGGGGGGGTTTGAAAGGTTCGAGGTGTGTTTGCCACTGTGGTGCGGAATGCTGAGTGGGTGGTTTGATTACGACAGGAATTTCTGGCTGGAAATTCCTGCCGATGATTCTTTTAACAGACAAAAGTGGCGTTCAGATTAAATCGCTGGGCTGTGGAGCCGCACTGAAGGCTTGTGTGTAACCGACTGGTCAGGGAAGGGGGTTAGATGTCAGTTGTAGCATTGTATAAGCGGAGGGATCTGCAGATAAGCCAAGCCTGGTCACTGCATCAAGTAAATATTTTTGTACGAAGGCAGAAAGTGTAATGGGTGTAAGTCAAGAGCGTAATGAGGTGCTTCCTTCCCGGCCTTCTGGCGTTGTGGCTGAGATTCCATTTCAAATCCCTTTAGTATTGCAGACCATCCTATACAGGATACGATTGCTTTTGTCAACTGTCCAGAGAAATGAGACATCTGCGCGGTGACATTTTTTTTGCTGTCTCTTCCGTTTGCCCTTGGCATAAATCGTAAACCTTCAATACGATGAGTGTTTTTTGGCCTTTGAGGTAAGAGAGTGTTAATGTTATTTTCCTTTGTTTCCTGCCTTCTCTGGAAAATGGCCACTTATTTATATTTGGCTACAGTTCCTCTGTCTCCGATTGCCCCTCAGTCTAGTGGCCATTACTTGCGTGAGCCAAGCCGGGGGATTGTTTGTGATTATCGCAGACAAGACCCATCCGTTTCTCACCCAGTGTCTACACATGTGCAAGTTCTGGGAGGATTGCTGGGGAGCAATCTTGTGCAGGAACGTTTGTTGCAGAATAGTAGGGTAATAGTAATTTGATATAGATAGCGCCTTATCACGTCTTCGAGGCGTCTTAAAGCGCTTCACAAACTCTACTGTGAAGTGAATTGACTGTATATATTGTGGGCAGAGCGAGTAGATCGCAGAGCCAGGGAGGTCTTTGGGTGCGAAGGGATTTAGAGGTGAGGTTGGGGGCCTTGGGAACTGGAACACTGGGACCTTCCTATCTTTGCCTCTCTTACTAATGGTAATCTTTTTGCTGTTTTTGCAGTGCCGTGGGTAAGACATGTCTGCTCATCAGCTACACCACCAATGCATTTCCCGGGGAGTACATCCCGACGGTGTAAGTACCCATCTCCCCCTTTGTGATGTTCGTTTTGTGTTGATCTGTACGTGTGCCGGTGTGCTACACCAATGTCATTTGTTGTTGTTGGTTGTTACTGATCCTGTTGCTTTATCGTTGTAGGTTCGACAACTATTCGGCTAATGTCATGGTGGATGGGAAGCCGGTGAATCTGGGACTATGGGACACGGCGGGTCAGGAAGATTATGACAGGCTGCGACCACTCTCCTATCCACAGACGGTACATTGCCTTTTCTGATGGCATAGCAGCTGTACAAGAATTAATAGCCATGTGAACGTTTTGATATTGACCAGTCACTTGAGGGCACTGATAGTTGGTTGCCTGGTCTGTCTGGCTTGATACAACCCAGAGCTGTTCCGAACCCTATGAGCCAACTACCGTGAAGCACACCAGTGCTTTACAACCACAACAACTTGTCTTTACATAGCACCCTCACGCAGGGTAGCTTCCCAGAGCGCTTTACATCAGGAAGCTACACTTCTGCGTCGCCTTGACGGGGAAAGCCGCTTAATAAATATAAATTGTATTGTTACCATTAGTATTCATAAGAAAAGATGAATCACGATCTTAGGGAATCTATTAATCCCAATACTTGGAACTTTTGTGACACTCCCTTTTTGTGTGCTCTAGCCTGCAATGTTCTCAGTAGGCTGGGTAACTAGCCAATACAATACAAAATCACGTTTGTATAGCACCTGTCATGTCGGGAGGACATCCCAAGGCGCTAGACAGTCAGGGATTTGGATCCGGGGTGCGGGGAGGGTTTGGGATAAAGGAGGGTAGGAGGGTGGCCGATGGCACGGTCGAAGAGAAGGGTCTTGAGACGTGATTTGAAGGAGGCAAGGGAGGGAGCGAGGCGAAGGGAATGTAGGACGGAGTTCCAAAGGTTGTGGGCTGAGAGGCTGAAGGCCTGACTGCTGACGGGTTGGGCGGGGGATGTGGAGCAGCTTCTCTGGAGTCCGCTTGGACTTCGATCTCAGCTTATGCGAAGACGGGGGTTTCAGATGGTTGGCAGCATCTGCTCGTCAACCGTCACAAATACATTTGTAAAAACTCAAACTAGGGGGCAATATTCACAAAACCCACAGACCATCCACTTTACTGTGAAGTGCTTTGAGATGTCCTCCCGAGGTGAAAGGCGCTATATACCAAATGCAAGGATTATTAATGATAATAATAATAAGTACAGTATTTTTTTAAAATAAAAGAACTAGTTCACCACGAGTGCAGTGTTTGCAAAGCGAATGTCAGTGTTGAAAGCGGGGGGTGGGGAAATATCCCTCGGCTCAACAGGAATTTGGTAGGAATGCAGCACACACAGGGGCAGTGTCGCTGTGTAAGCAAATGTTTTTAACTCTCCACGGCTGCGCTGCAAACCAGTGCTCGGCATCAAAAAACACGGCACAGGCAATCCCAACACTCTGCAGGCTCTGCAACGTCTCTCTCTCTCCCTCTCTCTCTCTCGTTCTTTAACGGCCTGTTTTATTCAGCGGCTGAACTGCTTACTTGCTAACTTTCGGTGAACCACCGTACATTAACCCGAACCCACTCCACTCACTGCGGGCTCAAAGTGTTCAATCACCTCTGTCGCTTTATCAGTCTCACATTCCCACACCCGCCCACCCCCCCACTGCCACTGTGGGCCTCTCAGAGGCCGCTGATTGAGAGCGTGGTTGTAGGTTCTGGAGCAGGATCGAGGCCGTCTAAAATATCTCGTAGAAAAGCCTCGCTTCCTATCACAAAGGGGCGGGCGGGCGGGCGTGGAAGGAGGAGGTGACCTTTCTGAGCCTCTCTGCTGAACGTGACCTGCTGTGTCAGGGGTGAACGAAACTGTTCGAGGCGCTTTGTTCTGCCCGAGCCCCTGGCCCGGGAGACGGTGAAGCATTTAAATCCTATTGTTGGTGTTAACCCAGGTCTCGGAGGCACAGGGTTGTGGAGTAACACTATACTGCATTGTCCTTCTCGTGTTGTGCTTCTGTTTCTACGGTGATACGCAGTGCAGAAACTCAAGCTTTCATGCACGAGATTCACCTACAAAATACACAGTCACTATACGAATCGCTGACTTTATATTAGTGCCTTATATCGCGGTGCGTCGAGGCATCTCAAAGCATTTTGCAGGATTTTTACCGTGACGTGTAGTGACTGTGTGTTCGTGGGTTGCACATTGCAGCCAGTTTGCGCACAACAGATTCTCACAAACGGCCACGAAATGAATGAAATTTACCGGTGGCGACTGTGCAGTGAAATTCTGTGAGGCTCTTTGAGACGTCCTCCCGAAGCAAAAGACACTGTATCAAATGCAAGAATTATTATTATAAACGACGAGGATGTTTATTTAAAAGTGAAATACAAGAAATACAAACGATTTTTTTTGTAGCTTTTCTTTCGATACAAAATATATCAAATGTATAGCATTCTGCATGAGCCTTGAGCAATGCAATGCCTTGGGACATCCTCCCGACGTGAAAGGCGCTATAGCTATACGCGTGTAATTGTTGTTGTTGTTGTTGTTCCTGCCAGCGAACTCTTTGTGTGGCTAATGTTAACATTTTGAGTTTGTTTTCTTCCCTCTCTTTTTTTTTTCTAGGATGTATTCTTGATCTGCTTTTCGCTCGTGAGTCCAGCGTCTTTCGAAAACGTCAGAGCAAAGGTAAAGTTTTCGCGATTGACTCGCGTGATTGTGCAAAAGTGCGCGTCAGTGTGAGACGGATAGCAGTGACGAGGGGAACTGCAGGTGATAGGCTCAATGTGAGACCACGGAGTCCTGATCTGTAGCCCAAGCCACGATTCACATCGAATCACCTTTAATGCAGTGGCAGCAACTCGTGGGTCAAAGGTACGATAAATAATATTAATCCTTGCACTTATAGTGCCCGATCACGACGTAGATAGCGCCTTATTGCGTCTTCGAGACGTCTCAAAGCCCTTCACGGATTGTACCGTAAAGTGAATTTTGACTGTATATTTTGTGGGCTTACAAGCCCAGTAAGAACACTCCTTAGGTGCCTGACTCTCGGATTCATTCCAGCTTTGAGTAGAACGTACCATGGGCTAGTTCCGTGTTTTTTTTTTTGTAACTCTACGCAAAACAGACCTGCCTGTATCGCATAGCCGAAGTATCTCTGCACCATTCTTCAGTCAAGCCAGTAAACAGCTGTTTTTTTTTAAACTTAGATGCTGGGGGATACGAGAGAGGGCAGAGATTAACTTTTTGCCCCCTTGGGACACTTCTGGTGTCTTCCACATAACCAGCTGAGATGGGGGACTGAGGGAGCAGGATATTGTGGTCATGTTTCTGTCTCTCGGATGTTAGTGGTCGTGACTGCATTGAAGTTTGGGACTTTCCAGTGCCTGAATTCTACAACTAACCCTCGCTCCCAATTTACACTTTGCCTTTAAGCAATGTATTTTGTGGTTGATGCTTTCCGAGGACTTGGCTTATATCGGCTCTTTTGAGCGGCAGCATTTTATTTTTATTTGAGAAGCTAAACCCTCAGCACTTAACGCTTCTCTTCATTTTTGTTCCTCCAGTGGTACCCAGAGGTCCGGCATCATTGTCCAAACACGCCAATAATTCTGGTGGGAACTAAGCTGGACTTGAGAGATGATAAAGACACCATTGAAAGACTAAGAGATAAAAAGCTGGCTCCCATTACCTACCCACAGGGTCTGGCTATGGCCCGAGAGATAGGTGAGTTCTGGGCGTCTCAGTGGAACTGAGGGAGGTGACGAGGTCGGTTTTACAGACTAGAAGAAAATAATGGTGACGTCAAATTAAATTAAAATGGCCCAAATCTAAGAGAGCCAGATGAATAGTTTCTCCCTCCTATGTGAATGGGCTGGTTCCACTTGTGGTGAGTCCACACCTCAGAGGACCGTAAATATAAGAGAGACTGTGGTAGATCTATCAGGGAGTTTTGGAGGAAGTTGGGTCAAATGGCCTGTTTCTGTATCGTATCACTATGTAACTATGAATTAGTGACTCATTCTTCTCCTGATTCTGCCTGCATTCAGTGCTGGTACTAACCCTGTCCAACGCTAACTTATCAAAGTGTGAAAACCTTGACTCTCGCCCTATTACGTGCCGACTTTTCTCTTCCTGGGAATATTTATCCCAACCGTGCTGTTCCCAGCTTTTGAAACCAGGGAAAGACAACGTATCCAGCGGGTCATCTGAAGCGAAATGCGTTTTCAGTGATAATTAAGTTTGGGAGAGGGTGGGGGAGGGATTTACGTCCACTAGATTCCTATCAGTCTAAAGGTAAAAGCTTAGAAGTTAAAAAGATAGCCCTGTTCAGCCACTCCAGGACCCAGTGCCATGGAGCAAACTCCACAGTTTCACTTTGCTCTTAAGATTTACTCCATAACCATGATACAGTTGGACCCTGTTATAATGCAGTGCTTTGGGTGCATAATCTCAGACTCGCATCGCTATAGCAGGTCGTGTTGTAAAAGTCACCCAACGCTCCTGGGATCTCGGGTCGCTATTGGCTTCACCACATGCAGGATGCCAATCAATCGGTACCGGAAGGCTAACGCACATTCAATATAATGCCCTGATTATATATGTTAAATGTATAACAAGGTCCAATCGGCGGATAATAGGCAGATGGTATGAATATGATCTTCAGGGAACTCTACAGAACAATCATACAAAGACCATCACTTCCAGCGCCTTGGAACGTTCTCCTGACGTGAAAAGCGCTATACAAATGTAATTTGTTGTTGTTGTAATGCACAGTAATACACTAGGACCTTAGTTCTCAAAAACAGTGGGAAAGTCACAAGGGAGATTTCAGGACTAAGAATTGTATAAATGCTGTACTCAACAGAAACTCAGTGTGTGTGCTGAATCCCGTAGTCCTGGCAGGGTTACCATGGCGAGTTATAAATAAAACATGTCCTGGAGATTGCCCTTGCCTAGTGTTGGGATTGGGTTGGACCTGTGTTCCGTGGGTTGTGGAGAAGATATCCTGGGCACATACCTGTCCTACAAGAGCAGGGTTGGTGGGGCCAGAAGGTCGGGGACTTGGCAAGTGTTTGTACGAATAGGGGGAGGTGAAGTTGGATGGAATCCGAGTGTATTTGTGATGGACTGGGATTAAGCGTGAGTGTGCGTTTGGTGGGTGCCACAAACCGCAGACACTGTTTTGAAACCTGCCCTGTGCTGGGTTTGAGAATCGTGACCAGAGAAGCTGCAGTTGGGCACAGTGCTCACGAGTTAGGGAGAGGTAAATAAGCTGGGGTTCCCTTCCCGCTTCTGACGGCTGTCCAATCACTGTTCCACCAGGTGGAAAGTGCTCCCTCCTGGTGAGGAACACACGGCAATACTCAGTGCTCACACGTGAATAGCGAGACACCAGTGGGCGTCCGTTGTAAATAAATAATAATCCTTGCATTTGATAATGGTATCTATAATGTCAATGTCTCCAAGCTCATCACAGGTAATTGCTGTGAGATGACGTATTTGTAGGCAAACACAGCAACCAATTTGTGCACAGCACGGTCTAACATACAGACGTGAAGTGAATGACCAATTTTATCGGAAAGATTGTTTTCTTGGCCAGGAAACAGGGAGCAACTCCAGTCTCTTTTAGAGAACTGTATCCTAGTGGAATGAAAAGGGAATCCGATGCCTCCAGAGAGGGCAGAAAATAAAAGGGGGAAAATAATCATCAGGAAAGGAAAAATAATGGTGATTGGTTAGCTAAATAGCTTTCCAGTTGATGAGTTTAGTTGAGGAGCATTATTAGAAATAAGTGATATTAAAGATTAAAGCACTTGCATATTTCTGTGTTTACAGCCTGGTCGGTAATGAACCTAATTCTCTTTAATAATAATTTGCTTTATTCCGTCACTACAGTGAGGTAAAACTGAAGCTATTAACAGGTAACTGTGCATTAATTTGTTCTAAAACTTCAATTGTAATCAATGATAAAATGCCAAGTGAGTGAGTAACCTTTTTTCGGGGGTGGGTGGAGTGGGGGGTGGAGATAAAGTTAGTGTCTTAATAAGCCCCCTGTAACAAAGTATAACGAAGGTAAGAGAGAGAGAGAGAGAGAGAGAGAAAGACTTGCACAGAACTTTTATAATCGGTGAATGCCCATAATTATTCCTATCAGGTTTCTGTTGTCGCAATAAAGGCTCTGCGTGATGCTGGAGGATGGCATTGCAGGGACTGAAAGAGGCCTTTGTTTTAGCAGCTGGGAGAATCGCAGTCCGTACTCCACTCTCTCTGCTCCAAGGACACTAATGACTTTTATTGTCCGCTCGTGAGAGAATGGAAGAAATCCTCCCCATTCGTTCCAATCCCCTGGGAAAACAGTCAGCCTGTGTTCAGCTACTTTATGTTTCCTTGTTTAATTAGGCTATTAACCTCTTTGAATTCCCCTTCCTCGTATAAAACAAAGGCTCAAACTCTACCGTACAGCAGCCATTTGCCGTATATATACCGACTGACGCACAGACCCCCCCCACACACACACCACCGTAAACCTATGTGTGGGATTGAACAAAATGTCTGCAGTTTGGCAGAAGCCCACAGACGCAGCCTTGGTTTGGTTTAATAGGACTGGCTGAGTTTGAACATATAAAAATAAATCCATTTTCTTCTTTTTCTGTCTTGTGCTGAAATGATTGACTCACACTGGGTGTGGGCAGCACCACACAATACTTCAATCAGTTGGCCATTCGTCACGTGTCACTAGGCTATTTAATAATAATAATCCTTGCATTTATATAGCGCTTTTCACGTCGGGAGGACGTCCCAAAGCGCTTCACAGAACACACTGTAAAGTGAATTGACTGTATATTTGTGGGCGAACGCGGCAGCCAATTGCGCACAGCAAATTTGACCGTGAGTGGGTTTGTAATAGCTGAGCAGAATCCTGCCTCACCCAACATTCACGCACACGCACCCTTCCTTCCCCTCCAATAATGTCTCACAAGAATTGGGAACCAAAATTCTAGTGTTTTTTTTTAAAATCCCTCCCCAGGAAGGCTGAAGCCAATTATCATTTGCTGACCTCTCACCTCTTCGCTGCTGAGGTCGGCGACCCACATGGACTGGACATTAAATTTGTTTTAAAAAAAAATCGGAAATCTGCACTAATCTGTCATTTAGAGGTACCATGACCCCAGCAGTTAGAGCACTCACCTCGCAAGCGAGAGACCTGGGTTTGATTCCCAGGCAGGGCGAAACGTTGGGCAAACTTCCTTACTCCACACGGCTCTGTTTACCTAGCGGTAAGGAGGAACCCAGTTGTTAGTCGATTGGCGGATCGCTTTTCTGAGGGTGATAATTCCTTTTAAAAAAAATAATAATGAATTGGTCACTCAATCCACAGCTGTTTGCGGGACACTGCTTTGCCCAATTGGCTGCCCCGTTTCGCCCAAGAAATATAATAATAATCCTTGCATTTGATTGACATAGCACTTTTCACATCTTGTAGACGTCTCAAAATCTACAGTCAATTCACTTTACAGTATATTCTGTGAAGCGCTTTGAGACGTCTCGAAGACGTGATAAGGCGCTGTATCAAATGCAAGGATTATTATTATTTGTGATGTCAGGATACATGTAACAAATTCTTAACCAGTGTCTATGAGAACAACTGCAAAGACTGAGCCAGCCATCTTAAAGCGGTTGATAACCATTCCCTATCATCAAATGCTTTTGCCTCCCTCCCTTCCAGGTGCCGTGAAGTACCTGGAGTGCTCAGCGCTCACTCAACGAGGGTTGAAAACCGTCTTCGACGAAGCCATCCGAGCCGTGCTGTGCCCACCGCCCGTGAAAAAGCGTAGAAAGAAGTGCACCGTTTTCTAGGAAGAGCTCCTCGACGTCCGAGAACCATAACCTTCATAACAACGCAATCCGCTGGTATTTTATCCAAATTGTGGCCCCGAGTGGAATGAGACTGCAGAAAGAGGGCGTCCCAACATGTCGTCTCTCTCTCGAGTTGGAACAGTTAGCCTTGAGAGTCAAGTCCTGAAGTCAGTAATTGTTGTTTGCGCTGTGTTGGGTTTTGTGTGAGGCAATGTGGCTGTCTTCATGGGTGGGACTCATTCATCTATTTCTTTTTCCTAAGCTGCAGTATCCCCTCTTTTGGTGGCTTCTATATTTTTTTTAAAAAAAAGTCTTGTCGCACAAAGCTCTCCCAAGTGTCGCTCGGAACGGCTATCATTTCCATTGCGGAAACAGTATTAACCGGTCTCAGTATCGGTATCTGCTTAATTCTTTGACTTGAATTAGTTAAATGACCATTTGGGGAATGCTGAATTCCAGATTTCCACTATGCCTATTAGTTCTCTTCATTTTTTCCATTTCACGGACTCTTGACAATGTAGACCCAAAAAGGATTATTTTGCTTAGCAGTTAGTCCACTAATTGCTGACTATTTAAAATGACTCCTGGTGTATCTTATCACCCTGTCTGTCTAGGAATGGCAGTAATTTCTAGTGCCTATCAGTCCACATTACTGATTATTAAAGCCCAAACCATTGTCACAGCAACATCTATAACCCGCCATATCGATGGATTCTCTCCCACCCCTCCCCATATCCCCCCCCAAAAAAGTTGCAAAATTGAAAAGTTCATTACAAGATCTTGTGTCAAAATAATTTTTGATCTTTTGTAACCGTTTTTTTTTTGCAGGAGATCAAAACTAGGGATACTGCAGTGTTTAAACGTGGTATAGACTTTTTTTTTGATGGTCTGTAAGCAGCTCTGGATGACCGTGGGCTCGCTGAGTGCAACGTGGGCTAAAGTCGAAATGTATGGATGTATGGGGATCGCGGGGGGGGGGTGGGGAGGGGAGGCGTGTGTGTATCGAAAGCCTGTAAAAAGCTTTCTGCTGGTTAATGTGAAATCAATGTTTAACTGTTGTATTCATTAACTTTATTATAACACTAGCAGACTTGTGTTTTGCCAGACAGGTTTCTCCTTTTATTCTTAAAATTACTACCAGTAAAAAAAAAAATTGCCCGTTGCAGTGTCATGTAAGCAACGAAACATTCGCTCATTTTAGCTGGTACTAATACTAAAGAAAGGTTGTGCTAATTTGACATCTTTTCATTCCTAGCACTGGCCGCTGTGATGGGAGTCTCAGTATTTTACTCTTAATTGACATCCTAGCCTTAACCCTGGGAGAGAACTGCCTCTTCTGGAAATCTCACTTTTTATTTACTATTTTTTTTATTTGTTGTTGGGATTTTTTTTCTTATTGCATTCGTACGAGTTTTTTGAACAATTTCTAACTTGGCACGTTCTCAAGGTGCGACTTCTTGAACCAAATTATGTTTAAAAAAAAATGAATTTCATTAAATATTGTAGTATCCTCATAACCTTACACGGTTGTTTTTCTTTCTTGCGAAATGGTACGTTTTAATCAGTCATCGCCACCGCCACAGTCTGTTTTCTGATTTAACCTGCGTCGTGACAGGACTGTTTTGCTGACGAGACAATGCTCTCTCGCATATGTTTATGTGGGTTCCCAAGGCAGCACCCCAGACGATATTTGTACTTGTGTTAGTGTTAACTGATCTATGTAAAGACTGCCAGTAAATCGTATCCTCGTGTGTTGCAGTGGTATTTAGGTACCATTGCAACACACTGGGGGGATTTCTGCTCTATATCATAAACTCAAAACACTCACTAAGGTTAAAGGTTCAGCGTGACCGGTATTGTACATCGGCTAAAGTAGCTTGGATTGTCTTATTAAAAGTATTCCAGGGATATCAAAACATTTAATTCTTTTAGTGGTTAACGTCTTGTTGACCCATTCAGACAGGAATTGTCACGACTGAAAAACCGACTGGAGTAGGGAGGGACGCCCTAATTAATGAAACCGTGCCAAATTTGGTTTAATTTTCAATGCTGTCGATTTAGAATAATTTGGTGAACCAAATTGATCCTATAATCTGAGTTTTGCAGTTTCTTTAAGATTGTGTGTGTGTGTATGTGTGGGGGGGGGGGGGGGGGTTGTGGGGAGGAGGAAGAAACAAAATCCTGTCTGTAGAAGTACAGCTTGATTGATACAGATATTCATGCAATAAATTTTTAAGTGGGAATTGCATGAAAAAGGGATTTGTTTGAATGGGTTTCATTTCCAGAACCTGTGTTTGTATCTGGATTGAATGGAGATTTCTGTCTCTTTCTTCTAAGGCTCTCAGCTGAGCCATTCTTTGTCCTTTCTCTATTCCATGGATAAACACTGTACAGTTGCCCTGAAAATAGTTGGCTTTGTTTGGCAGTGTCTGTCCTCCTTAGTTGGCTGTAGAACAGCTGATTATAGAATTATCACACTGGCACATACTTGGGTTAATTTAGCTCCGTGTCTTATTTTTGAAAGAATAATAATTTTGCTGCATAGATAATATCTTAAATCTCCCGCTGCCTTCATTCCCCACCCATGCGAGAGTTTGGTCATTGAATACATTTGACTATCTTTTGGCAGGCAGAGTTCCTTTCCATTATATTCAAATTTAGGATAGGTGCTTCATTAAACACTGCTGCTAACTGGCATTCATGAGTTTTACCAGGTGTTTTTATCTTGTTCTCCCTAGGGAAGCAAGCAATTGTGCTTTCGAGTAAGATTGTGATGCATTTCCAGTTCCTATCTCGCTTGTTTTGTCTCAAGTTTCCTATTCCTTTATTCAAAATTCTAATTTACTAAATCTTTGGATTGTACGTTCAGGACATGTTGTGCTGTCCTGTGCACTGATCTGTTGGCCAGTTTTGTCAAATTGTGGTTGACATTGAAGTACTCTTCCATCTCGTTGCGTGGAGGAAAAGTGGTCTTGGAAGACCATCTTCTTTTGTAGATCATTGGGCATCGGTGATGGATGTGTCAGACTCACAAAGTCCTTGCTTTTCTGGCTGACGGAATCTGTTTGAATTAATCTGCCTGTGTTCTCCAGAACTCTCTGCTGGAGCCTGGCTTATCCTCCGCCCCACCTTTAAAACCTTTCATTTCAACTGTGCTTTTGATCACATTTTCCTCCACCCGCTCCATCACACTTTCTTAGCTTCCCCCCAACCCCAGCTCGGGCTCCCAGTCGAGTCAGTGAAGCACTATGAGATGTCCTCCCACTGTAAAAGTGCTACAGTGCATAAATGTATGTGTTGTTGTTGACTTCAGGAAAATTGGTCAGAGTTATGAATTTGTGTTGAATGCATGTCTGTCCAGGTAAAAGCCCGGATTTGGAATGTCAACCTATGGATTATTTTTCTCTGTATAAGAGAAAAAATAAAATTAAGATGTGTATCAAATATCTTGTGGTAAACTAGAATATGCCATTAATTCCCATTTAATAATGTTTTAGGTGAGGCAATGCGCCCCTCGAATGTATCATCCAGTTTCATCCATGTCGTTATTTTCAACAGACGAACTAAGCTTTTACTAATTGTAGGAGACTCCATTGATGAACTTTCTTCGAATTGTCTTTGTGCATTTCTGAAGTTGAGAAGTTTATAGGGAAGAAAGTTTATAGGAAAAAAGTAAAACTTTATTTTCTTTTAAAACAAGACTCGGTCTGTAAATACAGTAGCAGCAGAGCAAAGCTGGCAATACCAACATTCTAAAAGACTTAAGAGTCCTATTTTAAGTATAATTCACTCACTGCATGTGGTTAACCGGACAAGAGATTTTGCTGCTCCTCACGTTACTATTCATTGCATTGAAATGGTAATTTGGACATACGCTTTGCATTTTACAGTGCTCTTTTGAAAGTAAGCCCTAACAATGGCGAGATTATTGCACCAATAACTGAATTCAACTCAGTGGGTACAAATAAGTCTTGGGGTTTCTCTGATTTGATGCTTCCTTGAAAAGTGGGCACTTATTGTATGTATGACCTCCATTTGTATAATTAGAGATGCTTTATTTCCCTCTGAATTTTAAGATCCTGCAAATGTGGTTGTCATTAAGAATTAAATTGTGTCTTTGAAGAGTACATTACCTAAAGGCTAGAGAAAAAAAATGGATATTTCATACATTAACCTGGGCCTGCTTTTTCCAATTGTGAGTTTAAGGATCTTAAATTCTGTACGAAAGGAAATCGGTGTGGTAAAATAAAAGCTGTCTTAAATGCACGAACAAGGATTGTGTCCAGAAGAGATTTGAATTGAACTTGCCTAGGACCATAATAAAGCTCACAATAAAGCTGAGTTTTAAGCAACCTAACAGAGTGGGTATAACAGCCATGTTTTCAGTTGGAGGAGTGCGTGATTATAGGGTAAGGTTTTGTCTGAACACACTACTTATTACTGGTACTTGAGTGTCTAATCTTTTGACTTAATTGCCATGATCTCAATGAAGTCTAAAAGCATTGTGTAGTTTGCCCTGCTGATGAACTCATGAAACCTCCCCTTGGGATTACAAAGCAAAGGGGCCATCAACTTCTGTGGCAAAAATGTCGAATCCTACAATTGAGGCTAAATTTGCTTCATTAATAACTTTGAGAGTTTAAAAATTCTACTTGCATCTCACTTATCCTGCCTCAATCATCAAGCCTTCAGTCCAACGGTTGATCACAGGGAGTTGGGAAGGGATGTATGAATGTTGTGACTATGATGTCAAAAATTGTAGTAAGCGATACAAGAAGAAAACAGTGAAATGTTTGACAGGTCAAGTAGCAGCTGATATAGGCCTCCAGTCATATGTTGTTGCCGTTGTTAAAAAAGGTGAACATATAGTTGCTGATTTGCAGATTTGTTCTCAGTTCACTCACGGAATAGCACAGTAATTATCCTTGCATTTGACCCAGCGACCTCTCACGTCGTTGAGACATCTCATAAAGCGCATCACAGAATATATTGTAAAATGGATTGACTATGTATTTTGTGGGTGAAACGCAGCAGCCAATTGCTGCAGGCATGGGCTGTGAAGAGAAAATGAACAGGATTTCAATATTTCACTTAAGAACTGCACACATTGGATTGTCAAACTAATCTGTTGAATATGAGCAAAAAAAAGCCCAATCTCCTCTTGTTTGCTTGAGTTGAAAGTCAGATTGAAGTTTTATCCTGCTACGGAGCAGAGAATGTCCGATATTTGGAATGTTTCAATTCAATAGTGGACAAATTTCCAGCAGTCTGTAGTGCGAGTAGGATTCCAGTTATGGGCTTTTGCTTTAATCTATACATCATGAAGCAAGAAACCCTCCATCCACAGGAAGAGTAGCTCCGTTTATCATACTACTCTTGTCACTGAGGAGGAAGAGAATTGCGTTCACCACCTCTTCCACTTCTGGGGACAAAAGAAATGCCGATTAGCTCCAAGTTAAAATACAACCACCGCTACCTCCAACAGCTGCGCATCTAATCTTTAAGCTTGTTGAAAATTAAAAAGGTTTGTGCAATATAGCTACTTACTGATATATATCAACACACAGTGGTAAGACGAGAGGATTTTGACTACCTACATAATTGGAGGTGGGCGGTTCAAACAACAGCGCAAGTTACAAAGAGAAATGGCAATGTTAGGGGAAAAAATAAGACAAATCAGATTTTAAAAAATCAAGTACCTTCGCTATTGCCACATTAGTGGCAAATACCTGAAAGCAACGCACCTGCCAAACCAGGAAACTGCTGGATAAATTGGAGTTGGGAAAACTTCACATGGTTCCAGCACACAGGACTGAAACACTCCAACTAAGCAACTGTTTGGGGACAGATGAAGCAATGCAAGGGTTTCCTGCTCAAACTTAGCTCTCTGTCAAAACAAGCCAGTCGCCTCTACCAATACAACAACGACATGCATTTATATAGCGCCCTTCACGTGGGGTAGTGTCCCGATGCGACTTACAGTGGCGGAATCTGACCCTGAGCCAGAGGGAGATTATTGTCTTCAAGTCGCGCCTCTTCGAACCGTGAGTACGGTCACCCCCAGAACCCCCGCATCCCCCCCATAACCCCCGCAACCCCCCACCAGCCCAGACCCCCCGCATCCCCCCATAACCCCCGCAACCCCCCCACCAGCCCAGACCCCCCGCATCCCCCCCATAACCCCCGCAACCCCGCCACCAGCCCAGACCCCCCGCATCCCCCCATAACCCCCGCAACCCCCCCACCAGCCCAGACCCCCCGCAACACCCCATAACCCCCGCAACCCCCCACCAGCCCAGACCCCCCGCATCCCCCCATAACCCCCGCAACCCCCCACCAGCCCAGACCCCCCGCAACCCCCCCCCACCAGCCCAGACCCCCCGCATCCCCCCACCACCCCTCCCCGGCTTCGGTATTGTGCTCCGCCACTGCCAAGCGCTCTGGGGCGCTACCCTGCGTGAGGGGCGCTGTATAAATAAATAAATACAAGTTGTTGTCGCTGTCCTCCTTTGGCTCCTCCCCTCCCCCCACCTCCCCCCCCCTCCCCCCACCCTCCTCTTCCTCACCTTTTCCGGCTCCAGTCACTAGAGTGCATTTGCCGTCCAGACGCGCGGCCATCGCGCCAACCGGCGACCCCGCAAATGCCAACCGGAGAGACCGCAGCGCCCGGTAACCAGGACAGGCCGCGGACACGCCCACCCACCTGTCACTCAGCAACGAGGCGGGGCCTCACCCGTCACTCAGCAACGGGGCGGGGCCTCACCCAACTGTCACTCAGCAACGGGGCGGGGCCTCACCCGTCACTCAGTAACGAGGCGGGGCCTCACCCACCTGTCACTCAGCAACGGGGCGGGGCCTCACCCGCCCCACCTGTCACTCAGTAACGGGGCGGGGCCTCACCCGCCCCACCTGTCACTCAGCAACGGGGCGGGGCCTCACCCGCCCTACCTGTCACTCAGCAACGGGGCGGGGCCTCACCCACCACCTGTCACTCAGCAACGGGGCGGGGCCTCACCCACCCCACCTGTCACTCAGCAATGGGGCGGGGCCTCACCCGTCACTCAGTAACGGGGCGGGGCCTCACCCGCCCCACCCGTCACTCAGCAACAGTGGGGGCGGGACTTGGCTCCACCTGTCACTCAGCCATCACACAGTTGGATTGTTCCCATTCCTTTGCACTACAACAGTGTAAGAGGGAGTGTTCGCATTCAGTTGATCCACGTTTAGAAATGAATAACCTTCCTGTTTGTCCCCCGCCTGCTATAAAATGCACCGGTGCCCCATTTGCTCCACGTGACGCGGTCAGTGTTTCGAGGAACGCCCCACAATTCAATGATGGCTTGTATTTGTTTCTGACGCAAAAAGAAATCAAAACAAGTCAAGTGTGTGCAAGTACTGGATCACCGTGGAATGTCCGACTAGAAACGAGGAACCAGCTCAGGGCTTAGAGTCCCATCAGAGGAAGCCAAGGAATACTTTAATCCAAGATGCTTCAAAGAATGTCTCCTGATGTCACCGGCACAGAAGGAGAAAACAGGACGTTAATTATAGTTCCTGGGTGACTGATTTTTTTCACAATAAGAGAGATTCTGGTACCGACGTTCTCTTAAAAATTAAAAGAAAATACTTGTATTTCTGAAACTGAGAGTGAAATCATGTCTCGCAGGTCTGTTGGCTCGGACTTCTCTTTCATAGACCCATACAATAGAACGGCTAATAAAAATGATGCTACATTAATAGGAAATGCTTGAGTCATTTAATACATTTTCAGCAAAGCAGCTTAAGTATAGAAGTCAACTTCGACATAGGGATAAGGCTTTATGGTTTGAATAATGCTGCTTTGAATCGTGGCCTGTTTTGATCATGTAACAATTGATGACCAGTTCTGCCCTGTGGCACAATCGTTTGCTTGAGTTGAAAGTCAGATTGAAGTTTTATCCTGCTACGGAGCAGAGAATGTCCGATATTTGGAATGTTTCAATTCAATAGTGGACAAATTTCCAGCAGTCTGTAGTGCGAGTAGGATTCCAGTTATGGGCTTTTGCTTTAATCTGTAGATTATGAAGCAAGAAACCCTCCATCCACAGGAAGAGTAGCTCCGTTTATCATACTACTCTTGTCACTGAGGAGGAAGAGAATTGCGTTCACCACCTCTTCCACTTCTGGGAACAAAAGAAATGCCGATTAGCTCCAAGTAAAAATACAACCACCGCTACCTCCAACAGCTGCGCATCTAATCTTTAAGCTTGTTGAAAAATTAAAAAGGTTTGTGCAATATAGCTACTTACTGATATATACCAACACACACTGGTAAGACAAGAGGATTTTGACTACCTACATAATTGGAGGTGGATGGGTCAAACAACAGCGCAAGTTACAAAGAGAAATGGCAATGTTAGGGAAAATCAAGTACCTTCGCTATTGTCACATTAGTGGCAAATACCTGAAAGCAACGCACCTGCCAAACCAGGAAACTGCTGGATAAATTGGAGTTGGGAAAACTTCACATGGTTCCAGCACACAGTACTGAAACACTCCAATTAAGCAACTGTTTGGGGACAGATGAAGCTATGCAAGGGTTTCCTGCTCAAACTTAGCTCTCTGTCAAAACAAGCCAGTCGCCTCTACCAATACAACAACGACATGCATTTATATAGCGCCCTTCACGTGGGGTAGTGTCCCGATGCGACTTACAGTGGCGGAATCTGACCCTGAGCCAGAGGGAGAAGGGAGGGGGGGAAATCCAGCTAAGAGAACAAAACGGCAGCTAGGTTCGGCGCAGGAGGCTAAGGTTCAATACTTGAACAGGACCTCAGCCTTGGTGATGCTGCTGGGAAAAGGCGAGCTTAGATTTTGAAATTCCTGTCCAGCCCCATCAGTTACCTGCAAACCTGCCGAGTGGGATTCGGGACAACATTTGTCCGGCTTTGACCGGGTCACTCCAACCAATGCGACCCATGTTGGTCATCACCACCGTGGGGTTGACGGCATTTGTTCGGATCTGTGCCACGATTTAACAGAAAAAAAAGGCAACATCTGGTTTATTTGCACACCGCTGTATTTTTAATTGATCACTGCTTCAACAGAAATTGGCCAGCGTCAATCTGCACCTGTGTTTTAATGCAATCTAAAGTTTCATTCTGTTGCAAGATCTTGTTCAGAGAGTGGAAGTGTCCTCTGGTGAGTTGTACGCGCAGTAAAAGCAAATGCTGCATTTTCTATTTTAAAATACGGGCCACAGTGGTATCCACCCAACAATAGATGTCAACTGGGGGTTGTTAAGGGAATCAACAAACAGCCCCGTGAAGTGGTGGAACAGTGGGGTTGATTTACCACACCTCCTTTGCCCCAACACTGAGGCGAAGTTCTGAGTGGAGATCTATGTGTTTCAATGCTTACATTGTATGGTCCCAGCTCCAAAGCCATCATTTTGGTCAGCATGTCTAAGGCTCCCTTTGTGGCACCTTTAAAAACAACCAAGTTAAGATATATGTTAACTGCATTTAAGAAGGCAATTTACTTCCGGTTTAAAAAAAGCGCAAATGTTTTGTAGTTTGATTACCAAACCAGCGTGGAAATTATGCTCACAATCCAAAGGGTTGAATGCTAATTGGAAATGCCAATTAACTAAAGCTGCATAACACTGTCTCTCTACATATAGCGAAAAAATGGACACATAGCTTACAATACACCGTGTGGTCTCTCAGAGCACACTGGGACGCCTGGCTGGAGATATTCACGATAGAACCGCCAACTCCCCGAGCTCTCAACCCTCTTGCAACGATCTGCATTAGAATAAAAACAGAATACAGTCAAGACAAAAGTTACCTTTTTGTTTCCAAAAGTGTATGGTGCTGATCCATCTCTTGGGTATCTTTAGTGAAGGTCCAGACCATTTGGACCAAAGATACTTTGCAAAATTCTCTTGCAAGTACAGCATTACACACTGTGATATAAATACATCATCCGATAAACATGCAGGGTACAGTGAGCTCTGATCTTACCTGTGAAACATGCATCGCCGTCTTCACATTAATAGCAAATAATCTGAAAAATCAGGCAAATGAAATCAGACTCAGCAAGGAAGAAAGTGAGAAATAAAATGCAAGTGGAAGAGAATACTCCAGTAATCACAGATTGTAAAAAATGTACTGTTTTTCCTCAACCCTTCTCTTGCAGACAACTGTTCAAAACTGTACTTCTAAATATCTTTACATACTTGTCAAAGACTTCCTCCGTGACTTCAAGGAACGGCTGCAAAATAGCAACGGCGGCATTGTTCACAAGAAGATCTATTGGGCCCACATCTTTCAACGCATTTTCCGTGGCTTCCCAGTTACTGAGGTCCACACAGATTGTCCTCAAGTTGGGGCACTGAAAAACAAGAGACACCAGTGAGACTATAAAAACTCACCAGATTCACACAACACTGATAATAACAGTAGCATCTCATACTGATGCCAATAGATGGAGCAGGTGCAACAAGCTAAATTATCTACTCCCGCTATAGCTATGTCTTTTCGTATGGCAATATTAGACGTGCAAAAGTGGATTGCCTCACACTAAATACTAAATTAGTTTCTTGACTGAAGAGTGGATCGAGCCCACAGACTGAGCGCTACGCAGCAACATACTTGACCGAACCACTTGCACTGGGAGTGGAGTGCAAAGAGATTCAGCATTTCTTTTCACTTTGGCTTCCGCTCACCTCACAAGAAAGGCTGTCCAAATCCGATTGGGTTCTGCTCACTGCAATAACTTCTGAACCACATCTTATCAAAGCCTTGGCAGTTTCTCTTCCGATGCCTGAAAGAAAACACGAAACACATCTGGCGTTTTCCAAATAACCCGAGAAACATTTTAGAGATTAATGTGAAATGAGGTTTGGTCTGGCTCGTCAACGGTCGGAAGTGTATCCCATCCCTCTCGACACCGAAGGACTGTTAGAGACTGTTATACATGTGTCTACACCACCAATAATTGCCGGGAGCCATACAGCTATCTTTCGCTTCCATTAGATTGCAACAGGTTAAATGCAACTCCTCCTCCGCGCACACACACAAACACTCACAGTTGAATTCACTGAGAGGGAATGCACGGGTTTCTGGTTGGCACAAAGACTACTTTAATCTGTAACAACAACAACAACTTGCACTTATGTAGCGCCCTCCACGCAGGGCAGCGGCTCAGAGCGCTTGAGTTCCAAGTCCAAGTTGACCCGCGGCCCACCCCACCCCTCCCCCATGCACCGGCCTCTTCTCCTCTCTACAGCACTGTCCCGCGAAGCGCTTTGAGACGACGAAGCACCGTATCGAATGCCGCGAGTTTTATTATTGTCTTCAAGTCGCGCTTCTTCGAACCGTGAGTACGGTCACCCCCAGACCCCCCCGTAACCCCCCACCAGCCCAACCCCCCGCATCCCCCCAACCCCCCACCAGCCCAGACCCCCGCATCCCCCCCATAACCCCGCAACCCCCCCACCAGCCCAGACCCCCGCAACACCCCACCAGCCCAGACCCCCGCAACCCCCCCATAACCCCCGCAACCCCCCCACCAGCCCAGACCCCCGCAACCCCCACCAGCCCAGACCCCCACCCCCCCATAACCCCCGCAACCCCCCCACCAGCCCAGACCCCCCGCAACCCCCACCAGCCCAGACCCCCACACCCCCATAACCCCCGCAACCCCCCACCAGGCCAGACCCCCCACAACCCCAATAACCCCCAGACCCCCGCACCCCCCCCCGTGGAACCCCCCACCACCCCTCCCGGCTTCGGTATTGTGCTCCGCGACTGCCAAGCGCTCTGGGGCGCTACCCTGCGTGAGGGGCGCTGTATAAATAAATAAATACAAGTTGTTGTCGCTGTCCTCCTTTGGCTCCTCCCCTCCCCCCCCATTCCCCCCCCCACCCCCACCCTCCTCTTCCTCACCTTTTCCGGCTCCAGTCACTAGAGTGCATTTGCCGTCCAGACGCGCGGCCATCGCGCCAACCGGCGACCCCGCAAATGCCAACCGGAGAGACCGCAGCGCCCGGTAACCAGGACAGGCCGCGGACACGCCCACCCACCTGTCACTCAGCAACGGGGCGGGGCCTCACCCGTCACTCAGCAACGGGGCGGGGCCTCACCCGCCCCACCTGTCACTCAGCAACGGGGCGGGGCCTCACCCCCAACATGTCACTCAGTAACGGGGCGGGGCCTCACCCGCCCTACCTGTCACTCAGCAACGGGGCGGGGCCTCACCCGCCCCACCTGTCACTCAGCAATGAGGTTCAGGGGCGGGGCCTCGTCTACCCGTCACTCAGCAACTGTGTGGGCGGGGCGGGGGACTTCGCTCCACCTGTCACTCAGCAATCGGGGGCGGGGCCTCTGCCTCTCCCTCCGCCTCCCCGGGACTGCTCACCGCGCCGCCTCTGCACGGGGCTGCTCAATGCGCAGCCAAGAAAATAGCGCGGAGCTTGTCAGAGCTTCACCATCGCAGCCCAGATGGCTTGTGACTGGGGGGAGGGGGTGGGGGGGTGGGGGGGTGGGGGGTGGGGGGGGGGGGGGGAGGGGGAAGGGAGACGGTAAAACCCAATGCACAGCGCCGCGCGCAATTGGCAGCCCCGTTTCGCCCAAAGAATACACAGTCACTACACTTTGCGGTATATTACAGTCTGCGGCTCTCGTAGCTCGGGAGGGGGGCGCGGAGGTGGGGGGGGGGGGGGTTTGGCAGGTGTGCGGGGGGCTCGGAGCACCCGCCTCGCAAGCCAAGAGACCTGGGTTCAATACCCGGCAGCAGGTCCGGGCGAAACCTTGGGCGGGTTTCCTTACTCCGCACGGACTGATCATCATCCCTCGAGAGAGAGAGAGAGAGAGAGAAAAAACTATAATATTAATAATTTGGTCACTTCAATCCACGGCTGTTGGATTGAAGCGACCAAATTCTTACTCTTGTTGGGCATTTTTGTTTTTTGCTGCGGGCAATTGGCTGCCGCCTTTCGCCCGCAAAATACACAAGTCACTACACTTTTGCAGTCCAGCCTGTGAAGCGCTTTGAGACGTGATCAGGCGCTGTATCAGATGCGAGGAGGATGATGATGATTATTATTACACACGCTGCGATGTTGAATTACTTGGTTGTAACCGAGTCACGTTGGTTTCACGCGCAGCGTGTGGCGGTGGCTCCACAGAGCTCTTCGCGGCTCTTCATTTTGGGCCACAGAACACGAGTTTGGGCGACCAGAGGAAAAAAAAAGTGGCCGGACTCCAGCTGCTCTGTAACGGGCTGCCGCAGATTGTGGGGAAAATGGGTCACATCTGTACGATGATGGGTATGTCTGAGGTACAGAACACAGCACCGGGAAAATCAGAGAGCGATACCTGCTTTCTACCGTACAAAGACGCGCACTATTGGGAGGTCTAACGTGTTGGCCACTGTGCCACTCGTTCGTTGAACCACATAAGTTCAAGGATCGTACTTTCCCCGATTGTGGTGAACAATTGAAGGAAATGATTTGGGAAATAAATCAAGTGTCAGATTTCGTATCTCTGGGCCGATGCATCTGCAGCACTGAGCTGAGAAGGTATCTGTGTCCCCCCCACCCCCACCCCTCTCTCTCTCTCTCTCTCGCTCAACTGAATGGTTAAACGCAACATGAACCAGGTAGAAAAGTATGAAACTTTTTAATGGAACAATTGTTCCAGCTGCAACCCCTTTGGTAAATATAGCAACCCAATAGGAGGTTTTGATCTGAAATGGGAATAAATGGGGATGTAATAAAATAGCAATCCAGACAGACTAGATTAATAAGCAGCACGTTTATTATTCATTCAAAACTTCATTCACGCTCAAAAATAACCATTACAGCGATTTCAATGGTTTCATATTTTAATCAATACACATTAAAGTTAAGCATTTGTTGCTGTACCACTTCAGTACATAAGATTGGCTCATAGTGTTAGGATACAGACTTTATAAATTACACAGAAATGTACTGAATGAAACAAGTTTATTAGTGATGAAAAAATAAATGGCTGAATGAGAGAAATGCAGTGAGAGTTTGAGTGACTACTTCAATAAGACATTGAGAAACAAAAGCGTGTCGTTTGGTACAACAGTCGACACACACGTCCTGCAGACATTATGAAGCATTTGGTAAATCCATCGGAAATATCAATAAAATACACATAATTTCTGTGCTGCATACTCTCCAGACTTTGGCATGAATATGAATCAAATAGCAAGGTTAGCATTCATGGAATTTTGGATCACTGATTCTTTTTCCCAAGTCACTGACAACTTTAACATTTCATAAAATGTATTTAATTCTTTCTGCACTATGGGACATAAATTGTAATGTCCTTTGCTGAGAAAGAGTAAAAAAAAGTCAATGAAAGAAAAAGGCATTAATACAGTAGAAAATTCAAGGTTTTGTTCTGTTTGGTTAAGTCTATCTTAAAAACTTGGCTTCAACAACTTTTTTTGGGGGGTGGTGGTGGGAGGGGGAAGACGGGCTATTCACCTTGAATTTTATTGTCTACTAGAATTATTAACATTGGTCATTTCTGCCATGGAAATGGAACAAGATCGACTTTGTATGCGAAACATCTAGTTGTCTGCAAATTTACATGGACTAGGCACTCCAAAACCATATTCCGGGTAGCTTTTTAGCACCTACCCATATGCTAGCTAGACAAGTAGCAAGTCAGAATGCATTTATTATTTAATAGGACTATCCACAAGAACCTGCCTAGGGTGATTTCTAAAGCTAACTGGGTGAAACGGACATTGCTATACATTTACTCCAACTCGTTTTGGCACAGTAAACAAGCATGTGGTGCTGATTGGGAAAGAATGGACATATTCTTGGCACACAAATATATACATAACCAATTGTGTCAACTGAATACTGCAGCATTAAGAATGATTTGCTACATCCCAGACATTTTAAAAAGTCACCTTTGGCCTTTCCAGCTGAATGTAAACATGCATTTCATAAACTATTTTAACAAATATATAACACTGTACATTAGTGATTTTTTCTGCGACCTCACCAAGCATTTTCCAGTCCTTTGTCACAGATTTGCAGGCGCCTAACAGTACTGTTTCCAGCAGTTCACAAAAATTCCATCCATGGCCACCGATTCATTGTTTGTCAACACTGACCATTTGACAGTGTTTCCTGCTTCTCAGGCTGTTTCTGCTTCTGTTCTGTTTGTCATTACTAGTGACTATTTGATGCCACTATCCATTGTCCAAAGTGACGGCTTTGCTTTAGTGTCCTTACCCGAAGGAGGATGTGCAGCAAGTTGACCAGCCCCAATGGAGGCCGATTCGGAGCATCTGGTTGAAATTGTTGACCAAATTAATGACACAGAATATAAAATTGACTGCGGAAAACAAGTGCAGTCACATTTGAGTTTTTCACCAGATCTTGTTACAAGTGAATCCAGTCCAGCAACGTTGATTGTACAAAGTTCCAGAATTATTTTAGATTATTTTCCTACTCTACTAGACGAAGAATGCTATGAAGCATGCATGGGTATCAGTTCTTCCATTGGTGAACTTTCTTTTTAAGCTGTCTTTAATTATCCTCTCCTGCCATTAACGTTTTCACAGCATACCTGCATCGCATATTCTTTTTTATTCTAACACTCTTTAAAGGGAAGGGGCAGAAACACTTAAAACGACATCAGCAATTTATGTTGGAAATTTGAGTTCTACTTTTTTTTAAAAACAAAGGGAAAAAATAAATTTGTGAGATTAAAAATGATCCACAGTATTCTCAAACCCTTGAGTTTATCACTTAGATGTTTACTGTAAACCACGGAAATGTAAAGCCCTCATAGAATGAGCTGCATTGGGAAAAGTTGTTAGTTTCACTGGTGATGCAGATTTACAAAGCAGTATTTACTAACCACAGCGGATTGATTCATCATCAATACTTGAAACTTAGATGATTTTTAATCTCTGGCCAAATGTTGATATTTGGTTAGATAATATTTTACTTAAACAAATGAATATGGTGTAAAATAATGTTACGCAATAAATCTTTTTTTCCCCCACTCACACAGATGATCAAAGAAAATGCAACAATGGCAATATATATATGTATATATAATCAAAATAATGGGATGTGTAACAGATACAAATAGCTACTAATGGTTAAAGTTTTTCATAAGTTTGGCTTCATCCCTAGAGCATAAGAGGCCACAGAACAAGAAAAGGCTATTCAGTTCCATTTTCTATTATCGCATGATATGGCTGCAACCATATGTACAGATTGCACAGAAGGTAAAATGTAATAGTTTGTATGTTTTCACAGTGTATATCTCATGTCAACTCCTTGATGTACCGTACCGTATACATGTGCTGTAAACTAGTGGGTTTTCCACAACAGAGCAGTCAGTAGTTGAAAATGGGAGTAGAATAGGTAGAACTGGCGAAATAGTGAAACCCATGTTTAAAAGTCAGTGTGCATCTCTTCAATCTCAGTCACACGAGTTATTAATGATCAGAAGTTGAACAGCAGGAATTCTGCTTATTAAACAATAATTTGCATACATGCACTCAGGATAGAACCAAAACCATATGTGCAATGGTATGCTGTTAGCTGAGGCAGCATAAATGACATTCTGCCTTACTACAACTGAACAGCAAATTGAATAAGATTAGGTCGGTGGGTCAATCTGCAGGGGCTTTAAACAGCCTGTGATCCTGGGGCAGCTAACTCCTCACTTCAGAATAATTCCAAGTACGCCTCAATTTCATGTCTGAGATTGTACTTCTTAGGATAATCCTTTTAATATAAATACCACTGAATCCTGTTTGGAACTGTAGGGATTGTTAAATGCTACAGAGGGAAAATTGGATGACAGTTTCTAAACTGAGGGAACGAATTTGTACAGAATTAGGTTCATGATGGAGACAGCAGTCGTATAAAAGGGAAAAAGTTTGAGATAAAATAATCAAATTTATGGGGATCCTTAACAGAACCATAAGCAGATTGCTATAAAATAATATTTTTCTCTTACGCCTTTAGAATGACAACTCCCCCAGCAAGATGTAACTAAAAGATTTTTAATGATCCGAGATTACTGTATGTCCTCTGTAGCCACTGCCATTAAACTTTTCACTGGCTCACTTTTTGGCATCCTTGATCGATTAGAATGTTTCAGAAGTAGAAAAAAATCCTTAAAATAACTGGTCAGGTTTTGTTCATCAAAATATTAGTGCTATTGTTGCAATTTATCACCCTCAATCACCACGGTTTAAGCGAGTGTGGACAAAACACACTTTATATGACCTATTCAGAGAGATGATGCTCACAAGATATTTAAATAACATGTGTAATCAAATCAGTTCAATAATTGGTAAGAATATTCAATTGCTGAAACAATGGGTAGTGGCTGTAGTAGTGGCTGTAGTGGATATTCAATTGCTGAAACAATGGCTGAAACACAGTACTAATCTCAAACACTTCCCGATTTCTTAGCTAAACCAGAATGAGACTCAACTTTTCTGCTCACAGTGCAAATTAGTGGTGAACTCCCCAAATCCCATGACATTATTTTGCACAAGGCACAATATTGAAATAGCTACCAGAAATCGCCATCTTGCTGAATTATCCCACAATCAAAGATTGAGTTTTCTGGGTCAGACGGCATGCAGTTTCACCGCTGACTGACCGTCTAAAATTGGATTGTGCACAGATGACACTCATGAGTTGCCAATCTTGAAACTGATTGCACTTCGCACGTATACAGAAAGGATCCACAGCTTCCAAGCAAGGTGTCATCTGAAAGTATTCTGCCAAAGCCTATCTATATCATGCCAGGAAGTAGGAGTTATACATTAGGTACTTTGGAGTGACTCCAAGTTCCTGTTTGCATGTGACCACACTCCAGATTGAATTCTCCCAAATTAACAAACAAAAGCACAAAGAGAGTATAGAATTGAGAAGAGGTAACATTGGCACTTTGGCACACAGCTTTCTGCTCCACAGACAAATCCAGAATCACTCCAGAGTGAATCCTTCTGGATATCAATATCTATCGATATCTAAGACAAAGCAGTCAGTGGTGAGAATCTCAGTTCAAGTAAGACCTGGAGTATTCACTTAAGTCGTTCAGGAGACGGTTTTGATCTTCTTTGCAGAACTATCACAGTCCTATCGAACAAGTATCCTCGTATGATAAGGTAATTAATTGACCTATGTTAGGAGTGCATAGGGATCATGTGCAATATGTAAATCTTCAGTCTTTTTTTTTACGTGCTTCACAGTCTTACCCTTGCAGGCTGTAAAAAGGCACTTTTTGCTGCTCACTCTTCTAAAGAGCTGCACCTGTTGAATAAAGAGTTATCGCTGTCTTCACAGGTCAGTCTCTGTCTTTGGCAGGACACCAGGCATCAGCGGGATACAGGAGACAATGTACAGACTTGAACCTGGAGGTAAACAAGGTTTTCGAATGAGATACAATTCGGGGCATTTTTCAACTCTTTATACACAAACTACAGTAAAATGTCCAACAGCCAGTCAGATTTATGATGTCATGGCTATTCAGTCTAAACATGCTTTTTCCTGGAAGTGATATTTCCAGATCAGCGAGAGTTCTATGGTCACTTTGCCGTGTTCTAATCTACACGCAGTTTAATGACCTGGATATCTTTACTTTATTATACAGTGACAAATACTGAAATCCCATTCATAAAATGCCAATTACTAATCCCATCAGGAGATCAATTGAAGTTTTGACAAAATTTGGGGATTTTTATTAGCTGGTCATTTTGGCTGGCATATCACTTGGTCCCCAACAAACAGATGTATTTGAGGAGGTTTAAGGAGGATAAAGAAACAGATCACTGTACCGCGAAGGATCCTCATCCAGGCTGAAAGGTCCTCGGACATTCAGCGCATTCCGTTTAACTTCTGAACTTCCGTAACTTAAGGTGACCTGAAAGAATACAGATCCATGATTCAGGGACTGAAGTCAATCTGTTCTTAGCGAATCTTAGGTGTTTCATGACTAGATAAACAGTTATACCGAACTGGATAACGACTATTTCAAGTAGTTTTTACAGCAGCAAATGTCTGTGTTACAGTTCTCCTGCTGCAATCCTTTCATATTAAATAGTGCGGCATTTTAATGCCCCCTGTGTCTATGTTACAAGGAGGCAGGAAATGGATCTGTGTCCCCAGGACCCAATATGGTGAATTTGCCAATCTATCACACAGAAGGAGGCACCGAGCTCAGGCCCAAATGTTTCCCCCGCAGGAAGCAAGAAAAGCAATGAATGAAACGGAGGGCGAGAAGGAGAAAATAAAGAAATAAGTTTGATATCAATCAAAAAAATTGCAGGCTGTTCTGCACAATGCTGGGAGAGCCTGACCTGTCTGGGGATGGTAGCTGGAGGGATTTGCTTTAGGTTCTCTAGGTGTGAATGGAACAGATCGCTATGAATCATCTTCACTTCCAGCAGGGCTTCAATGATGTAGCCGATCGTACAGTCATCAGGGAGGCGAATCTTCTCAGCTGTACTGATAAAATTCCCCAGGCTACGAAAGAGGAATTAATAAGAATAATAATCCTTGCATTTGATATAGAACCTTATCACGTCTTCGAGGTCTCATTAAAGTGCTTCACAGAATATACTGCAAAGCGAATTGACTAATGGTGAGAGTTATATACAAACGAGGTGCTTTTTCTGTTCCTACACTGAGAACAAAGTGGGTTTGGAACTGGGATAGATCATAGTATAGCTATGGAAGCAAGGTCATACAATCACAAGAACTTTCAGCAAAGGAAGTACTATAATACATGCAAGCTCTCCTGGAAGTCAGTTTCAGGTTTGGGAACTGTAAAAAAAACCTGAACGTATAATGTTATACCTTTGTCCGAGGATTGTTGATTAATAACATCAGGAAAGTTTTACTGAAGCGAGGGTACAGCCACGTGAAGTTTATAAACATTATCATGAGGAACTGACCGGTGATCCTGCTTAAGAGAGACTCATTTCAGTCGATTGTGAATCAAGTGGCTGAAAAGATTGAGCGGTGGAGTGGAGTAAGAGACATCTTTGAGTGTAGTAACCAGCCTGCAGAGCCCAGAAGGAAATGAGTCCAGCCAACCGGATCAGCGGCTCAATGCCACAGTTTGTTTTTAAAGCATGTCTGGTTTGAAAGCTGAGTGAGAGCAGCTGTGAATTTGAGATGTTTATGTGGGTGGGGGTGGCACTGAGCCGAGATGTGGTCAGCCTATAGCTTCACAGGTTTTCATCGGCAAGCTTCGATTCCTTTAAGACGGATGTACCCGCATTGTGCAAACAGATGGTTAACTGAGGGTTAAACACGGTGTAATTCACTGTGGAGCAACGATGTGAAAGACATAGTGATGCACTCTTTGTATGCAAATTACGAATGCAACTCTCCTAATAAAATAAAATCACACAGCGTACAAGAGACAGTAAGTTAGAATCATTGAATTTTATAGCACAGAAAGGAGCCATTCGGCTCAATGTTGGTTCTCTCAAAGAGCGCAGAGGTGGAGCACAGTTAAGTATATTTTGCCCACAAAATACAGTCAATTCACTTTACAATATATCATGTGGAGGGCTTTGCGACAAAGCACTTTAATACATTATTTAAGCTACCTCGCGTGAAGGGCGCTGTATAAATGCAAGTTGTTGTTGTTGAAGTTGTTGTAAATCAAACGCAAGGATTATTATTATTGCAGTTAAATAAATTGACAATATGGCTCAACCATACCTGGCCCACGGACTCATCTTCAATGCCAGCCCACGACTGATACAGAAACCAGCTCCGCCAGTTGCAAACCAGAACTTCACAGAAGTCTTAAGAAAACAAACAAGATCCCAGTAGATAAACGCAACTTCCTGGAGACCATCACATTCTGATTACGACTACAAACAGCAAACATTTTGTTATTTGTTTCTAACATGATTTCCCACCATAAAGATGCAAGATGTTTACAGGGTGATGATAGAGGCTCTGTGTTTCCCTCCGCACTGTTTCTAATAATATGTAACAAATCCTTGGTTTGAAAGAGCCCAAAATCAATTTAAAAACACATTAGACCATATGTGGCTTAGATCCAACAAAACAGGCTGGAATCAATGGAGTAACAAACCAGTGAGCTGATGATTTCAGGATGGATAGAGGGAAAAACAGTCATCACAAACAGTACCAACTGGAGCTAAAATGTACTAACATATGAACCTTAGCTTTATAAAGCCCATTTTATTTTTGTAACTCCATCCCAGTCCCTTTGAACTCCCTGCCCCACACCCACCACCCCTTGCCTCCTTCAAGGCACGTCTCAAAACCTTCCTCTTCGACTGAGCCTTCAGCCACCCTTCTACCCTCCCTGCCCTCCGCCCTCCCCGATTGCGGTGCCAGCTTGGGTCCAAATCCCTGACTGCCCTGCACCTACGCGAAAGCTGCTGTACAAATGTAATTTTGCATTGTATTGAACATCACCCACCGACCCATCACTCTTCACTCTCTCTGCAGCTTCCACTGGATGATCTAGACTCGGTCTGCCAATATAAATATCTTGAGTATGTGAATACGCAGATAGCAGGTGGATCAAGCTGTGAATATTGACATAATTGTCGTCATCAACGTGACAAAACCATCTGGAAAATAGAATAGTGTTAAAACAGGGTAGATTCGACACTTTAAATCATCAAGGTTGTATAAAGCAGAATGAAAATAATTTCTGGCAAATGAATGGATTACAACAAAATATATTGGCATTTCTATACCCAATGATTAATTGCTGTCATACCACGAATACAAGCAATTATTTTTTTTGGTGGGTGGGGAGGGACAAAGAAAGCAAATTTCCTGACTAGGTAATAATGATGTTGCAGCAACTGACACAGATACATCAAAAATCTTCATGGAGTAACGAGTGTTGGGCAGTTAGTGCTATTTTAGTGGTGCTATTCTTCAGATGGTGATAGAGAAACAGTAACCACTGAGTGACATTGGCCATGGAACTTATGAGCCCAACAATTGGTGGCCTATTTTGTATCATGCTCTGAGCTTATTAATCATCCCGTCACATGGATATACACAGAAAGAAATAATGCAGCCTTGAAAATTCACTTACTTTTTTTCAGATTCAATGAATTTGTCGTATTCCACAGACATCTTACAGCAAAGTGCTTGGCGAGTGTGTGCAGCAGAGCAGTTTGTGTTGATCATGTGATTTCCTAAACTCAACAACAACAAAATGACATTTGTATAGCGCCTTTCACATCGGGAGGAGGTCCCAACACAGAGGACACAGAGACGTTACAAATGTAATCCACGCAAAGCAGATATGATTCAAAAAAATTAAAAAGGTGTTTTTCTCAATAATTCCTGTTGGCCTTAGCCAGAAACTATGAACGGTTTGAGTTCAATACTATTATTCAGTGAACTCTAATTGGCTTGTGGAATGGGTGGGATTGTGCCATGGAACTGTTTCGAGGAACTGGGCTTTAAACCTGAATACAACAACAGGATTACATTTGTATAGCGCCTTTCACGTCGGGAGGACGTCCCAAGGTGCTGGAATAGCAGCCAAGGCTCACAGGCACCTGAGCAGGCTCCTTCATCTGAGTTCAATTCCAGGCCGGGCGAAACCTTGGGGAAGTTTCCTTACTCCACACAGAGCCTAATAATAATCCTCCAAAAAAACAAAACAATAATAAATTGGTCATTTTCAATCTACGACTGTTTGTGGGACACTGCTGTGCGCAATTGGCTGCCGCGTTCGCCCACAAATATACAGTCAATTCACTTTACAGTATATTCTGTGAAGCTCTTTGAGACGTCTAGAAGACGAGAAAAGCGCTATATCAAATGCAAGGATTATTATTATTATTATTATCCTGTGGTAAGCTTCTAGGTCAGAGTTTGGTTTGGGCACTTACCAGTTTTTTCTCGCAATATCTTGTCCTCTCCGTCTGTAAATATGAAAGTCTGGGGGAAAGAAACAAAGAAGCACTGAATAACCAGACAAATGCTGTATCTCCAATTCAGACCTGCTGCATTACTGAGCTCTCTCAAACAATAATAATAATCCTTGCATTTGATACAGTGGATATGATATAACAATAATATGGCCAGCTTTACTGTGGAGTTTTTTAGCTATTTAAAATTAACCTTTATTCCTCATTTCCCCCCCATCCACATAAGTCTAGTGTATGGTTATTGACGTAATAAGTAGCTGCCACATTCACCTACAAAATTCGTGCTGCTTTAAATCCAGTGAAATGCTTCGACAATTCGATAGAACACTATTATCAAATGTAAGGATTATTATTCTATTTTTATATTCAACGAAACAGTACAAAAGAGTAACTCTTTTCAGCCCTTACCCTTCTCTCTCTCTCTCTCTCTCTCTCTGTCTCTCTCTTTGTCTCTTATCCCTCCCTATCCCCAGCTTTAGTATTTGCTGGTATGTATTTAATCCGATTCCCCTGGTCATGTTGCCAGGTTTGGAAATAGAGTTGTGTGCAGTGCAGCAGTTAGCACATACAATGAATTCAGGTCTGATCAACATGGTAGAGAATTCAATGTCCAATGTAAACAGGATGAAAGGAACACTTTTTTTGAAAAAAAAGAAAGGAATTTGGACAGCATTTATTTTTCAATCACAAGGAACTACTACTTTCTTTCTTCTTCACCCCAGTCACTCGTGAGCAATAATGAAAGCATTTAGAGAAGATCTGCCACATGTAAACTCTGCTCCACGCTACCTCCTCTGCCACTAAGGGATTGCTTTCTGCTTACATTGAATTCACCATAGCCAGCATTCATCTCAAAATTGTGTGACATTTCATCACTGCCAGGCAGAGAGCTGTGACTAATTTGATTTACAACTGCTGCATAATTCAATGCATCACACGTTTTAAGCATCACTCTGGCAGGAGCACTGCATAACTTGCGGGGGTGGGGGAAGGAAGGGATGGTAGGGAAGATAAATATGTCTTAACTGTTTCGCAAGATACTTGCGAAAAAGTTAAGACATATTTCCTTCCCTGCTCCCTTCTGCAGCAGAATTCTCTTAGCTTTAACAGCTTCTTGGCATGTTCTTGATACAATGCTCGCTGGAAGTCCACAATTTGCAGAAATGAACAATAATGTATAAAAGTCCTGTTGAAGGATCTTTTTTTTTGAAACTTTTCAAGCGTGAAGGTTTTCAAAGATTTAAAAAAAAACATGAAATTCTTCTTCGAAAACTATGCAGACGTACAAATATGTTCCTGAAAAGATTAGCAGTAAACTGGTCGTGGACACAGAGAATAGTTTGGTTCAGTGTAGATTTAGCCATCCTAATCCAATCTACTTCAATGCCAGAAGCTCAATTTATGCTTTAAAATTGCTAACAGCGGGACCTGGCTATATCTGGGAGGGATAACAAAAAGCTAATATGCTGTTGAAAAGTAAGTCTTAACACAGATTATTCAGGCATCAAACAACTAAATATTTGGTGATTTTTAATTACACTATGTAATTCCTTTAATTCCAGACATCCACCTCCCCCTANCCCCATCACACACACACACACACACACACTTTAGCCCTGAATTATACAAACCAAAGCTCAAGGCCAGGGTTCAGGACGAATAGTGTGTTTCTGCTCTTAAATGGAACAATCTGAGGAGCGCAGCTTGACTTACAAACCCCCAGAGAAACACAAACCACGCCAACAGAAATACACTGCGCTACCAGTGCTCTACTTCACTAGGTTTCCTCATAATTCCATTGTGTATTTAAATTTACACACTTTGGACTGATTCCTGTTAGCTGCGGCTACACTCCCGCAATTCTTCGCTCAGATAAATATTGCACTTGGCAGCTGAGAGCAAACATCTGCATTACGGTGTTGCTGGAGTTCATGCATATCCAGTTTCCTTTTATTTGGGGCCAATTTTCTCCCGTGTTCCCTTAAAGGTGCTGGACCCTTAGAAAGATGTTGCACAGTAGATTCTAACTTGACAGGATGTGGGGAAAATAGTCGTCCCTGGCGACTGTGCGACCTAATTTGTTTTATTCACAAAGGTTTCTAATGATGTATCCTTAAATCAGTATTGCCTCCCACACTCTCTTTCTCTTATCAAGAGAACAAGACCGGCTGAACACAAGGATAAGGACGCAACCAAGAGTGAAAACAAAATGTCCACAAAGTGATACAGTACGTTATTCAAAAAGTTCAACAACAATATTACACGTGGAGAGTTCAGCTGAATCAAAGCAGATAAGTGATCGCATTATGTTTATCTTCGTTCGAGTCAAACCGAAACAAACCATCAATATTTTGGAATTGCTGAACCACGAAAGGTCTTATGCAGTTTGATTCCAAGTAGGAAACAAGCCAAGGATTTTCCTGGTCTGCAAGACTCACGTCCACACTATTGAGGCACTGAGTCATTGTATGATTCATGCAAAAATGATTTCCTGTGAAAACTTTTACAGTTTACAGCGCATTTCAGGTAGGAAAATCTCACAAAGTGCTTCATCCAAGCAGGGTAGAAGATAACGGATTGTAGGATTGAGGTGATGAAAGGCGCAGTCAAAGAGATAGATAGATAGCTCTTTAGAAGGATTTTCAAATGAATAAATGTTAGAAAAATGTTCAGAAATAAAGCAGATTGCTTAATTCAAAATGACTCTGCAGGAGAAGGTGGAGGGGGAAATAGAGTTGGGATGAATAAGGCAGATATAAGAATGGATATTATAATCTTTCAGTATCAGTGAGTGTTATTTTTGAACAAGCCATAGTAGCAGAGATGTATCAGTGTGTATGGTACAGGGGAAAATATTAATTATTGGTAATGTAAACAAAACTACTTCTGGTTAAAAAGGATATTTAATATTAGTAAAAGGCTACGTTGTTATATTATATCTAATATATTGGTATATTGATTCTTTACTGCCTTATATTAGGACACCCTCCTGATGTGAAAGGCGCTATACAAATGTAATTTGTTGTTGTTGTTAGATTGGAAGTCAAATGAAAATCAATTACATAGGACAATATAAAAGTCACTATAAATGGATATGCAATAGTAATTCTATCCTAAAAAATCATATTGTGACAAGCCATCCTGGCTGATCAGCGCTTACACTTTCCATCCTGTTTTAATTTAAATCTGAACGTCCACGTTCATAGCCTCAAACCCAATCTCACGGTGGCCCAAATGCCTGTACTTTGAAATCCTGGCTGAAGAAAGATGTCTTGCAATGCTTATACGAGACGCGATCTTTAATTCCACTCTGAATGTGCCAGAGACCCCACAAGGCACTGTTAGCGACCCCACGCCTCCAGCTTTCACAGTGCAGCTGGATTGGTGAGTGTTCAATAGCTATCTGTCAGCAGCCACAGAGAGAATACATGGTTCAAACAGCCAACAATGGATGACCATGACAGCCACTCTTTTCCAACAAAGCACATGTTACCCTTCAGTCAACAAGGAATCGGAGATCTGGCAGAGTTTGAAGCCTCCCCTAGAGTTGGAGTCGGCGCAATCGTTTTCAGCAGGACAGGACAGAATTAAAATTATATTACACCAGCAACGCCGCCGATCATGGCAGATAACAGCAATTCAGATAACGGGGCTGCAGGAAATCATACGGCCGAGAGCGCACGTGAGTGGCTGTGATGGTAGCGATTCTGAAATATTTGTTTTGCTCACAAAATACGCAGTCAATTCACTTTACAGTATATCCTGCGAAGCGCTTTCAGATGTCTCAACGACGTGATTAGGATCTCTCGCAAATGCAAGGATTATTATTATTATTTGCCTTTCATGAAGTGTGAGTGGGCATCCCTTGAACATCATTTTCTTTTCAAGGAAATAACACATTAATAATACAGCAACTTTTTTCAACAGTTTGTAGTTTCCATGGGGATGAAATAGCAATGATGTCAGTGAACATGGATTTGAGCTGGGCTGTTGTTTGCTTCAAGGTCTATCTCTTGACACAATTAATGGATTCTGGGGCCACTTTCATAAGAGTAAGGCACTGTGCAGTTTTAAAGCCGGTTAATTCTGACTAAATTATCCAACTGATACATGAAACCGAAACCTTCTGTCAGTTCCTCTAAATGTTGTGCTTGAAGTTCAAAGAATCATCTATAGGCAGCTACCAAGATAAACCGTGTGCGAAGCTTTCATGGACACTTACTCTCAAAATCTTCCGGAAAGTCCTCCTGCTCAATTTGATAACAGTTGAAACCACACAAGCAGATCAAGTGATCTATACTTTTACTGTTCCAAAGTGGAATTTTGAGCAAATTATCCGTCTTGGGTGGCTATCTAAAGTACATTTCTGCCAGGTCGAGGGAGGAACAGAAATAATTGCCTCCACGGAACAGTCTGGGGATGGATTTTCCCATTGCACTGACTGAAGGACATTAACAGGGATGGGAGAGACGAAAACAGAATGAAATGCTAACATCACTCACTGCGTTGCGTGTCAGTCTGGCTCAGAGGTATTTGGCTTGCTATAAGCAAACTGCAGACAGGGCTGCTGTTTTCAACCAGGGTAACTGATCAGACATTCCAGAGGTTTGTCAGGTCAAAAACTGTCATCACGTCACTTGTGTTTATTTTAAACAAAAACGTGAAAACATGGGACTGACTTCTCATAGAAATGATCAACAACAACAAATTACATGGGTTAGTGCCTTTCACGTCGGAAGGACGTCCCAAGGCGCTGATCAGAAAGCTATGGAAAGATGTCTTTTAGGAAATCAAGCGTATTATTATGTTGGACTCTGAACTGATTGGGATCTCAAACCAATTGTTAGAACGTGCTTCACAACAAATGGGACATTGGAATGGGATGCACTGAAATTAAATTAATGATAGCACAAGATAACAACAGTTTTATCTGTACAACACATCCTTTCTGCTAATTCTAGGATTGAATTTCAGCAATCTTCATTGAGCTTCTTCTACAACGTAGCACCTCACTGTGGGGGGTATGCATTTTTGGGAGAGGGTAAGAGAAGAGAGAAGATTACCAACAGAACTGAATCACTTTAAAGCAACCTTGTATTGGCCAACGTTAAAAATTGGCGAATCTAGCGATAGGTGCCTGAGACAGTTCTGCTCACCATGGAATAGTTAATAGTAATAATCCTTGCGTTTGATATAATACCTCATCACGTCTCAAAGCGCTTTACAGAATATACTGTAGAGCGAATCGACTGTATATTCTGTGGGTGAAACTACTACTGTAATACACATATAACAATAACAACAAGAGTAATCCTTGCATTTGATACAGAGCCTTATCAGGTCTTTGAGACGTCTGGAAGTGCTGCACGGGAGACATCATAAATAATAATAATAATAATCCTTGCGCTTGACACAAAGGAGCACTTTTCACGTCTTTGAGACGTCTCAATAAAGCGCTTCACAGGACGCGCCGCTATTGTTATTATTATCATCATCATTATCAGTATTATCATCATTAAACTTTTTTAATTGAAAGCCCACTGACCCGTGCGATTTTGTGGGGTAAAATTCGAGTTAATTAAAAAAGGCCCAACTGTACGTTTTACTGTAGAATTTGCTGCAAATTTACTGTAAATTTACTGTACATTTGACTCTACGTTTACTGCGCATTCGCTGTACATTTGACTGTACAGTTCACTGTACATTTTACAGTACGTTCACTGCACATTTACTGTACACCTATTATACATTTAACTGTACATCCATTGTACATTCGGCTGTATATGCACTGTACATTTGACTGTACATTTAACTGCATGTCTACTGTACATTTACTGTATGTTTACTGTACACCTGACTGTACATTTATTGTGCATCTAACTGTATATTAACTGTACGTTTGACTGTATATTTACTGTATACTCACTATACATTTGACTGCACATTTACTGTACATTAAATGTACATTTGACTGTATATTTACTGTACATTTGACTGTATATTGACTGTATATTGACTGTACATTGGGGGCTGAGACCTGGAGACAACAGTCTGGTCACCTGCTGTTGGGCCGAGGAGATCCAGGTCTGGAAGAGCAGCTCCAGTCGGGTCCGGTGGTACTTCCGAGTGGTCTTCACGGCGATAAAGATGTCGCTGAGCAGCACTCGGCGCTCGACCCCTCCCCTGAGAGTGGGCGACGTCGACACGGCCCACGGCGGCTCTGCCTCCCGCTGGTCCCGGGCCGCCGGCGCCTCCGTGCGGCCCCGCCGCCGCCCCCCCGGCACCGTCTCCCGGAGGGCTCCCGGCGGCGGCGGCGGCGCGAAGCTTCCGGCCCGGGGGGCGGCCCCGGGGGCGGGGGGGGCGGCGGCGGCCCGCGGGGGCCCGCGGGAGAAGCGCAGGGCGTCCGAGGGCCGCCACTGCTGGAAGCCCATCAGGAGGAGCAGAGAGGCGCAGAGGGTCAGGGAGAGCAGGAAGCACAGCCTCCCCCTCCCCCGCCCCCGCCCCCGGGGCCCCCTCCCGCCGCCTCCCGGGAAAGCCATCCGACCCCGCGGGGCTCAGCCCGAGCCCCAGCCCGAGCCCCCCGGGCCGGGGGAGCCGCGCGGCGGCTGATCCCCACCCGCTCCCATGTCCCGCGGCGGCTTCGGGAGCAACAACAACAACAACAGCAACAAGAAGGGGGAAAAAAAAGTCAGACCGACCCGCCGGTCCCCCCCCAACCCCCCCCCTCCTCTCCTCCACTCGATCCCCCACAACCGCTCACTCACTCACTCGCACACACACACACACACACCACAGTGTGGGGAACAGGAGTGCACCACCAGCCCCGAGCGCAGAGCCCTCCTCTGGCATCGCACTGTGATGACCGGGCGCCACCTCTCAACGTGGAGGACTCGGTTTTTTTTCCCCAAATTATACTTTATATATATATATATATATATATATCTCTAATAATATATATATATACATATATATATAATCCTCTAATAATAATCATCTTTGCCTTTGATATAGCGACACCTTATTGCGTAGTCGAGACATCTCAAAGCGCTTCGCGGAATATACTGTAAAGAGTAGTGACTGTGTGTTTTGTGGGCGAAACAGGCACAGCAGTGTCCCACAAACATAATTCTTCAGTTTCCTGGAGAAGCTGTAAATAAACGCAGCAGCTGTTTATTTATTACCACGGTTTGGCTTGCTGCACGAACAAAAAAGCAAATGAAAGGAAATCAAATAATTGTCCACGAGCAACTCTATAAAGCCCTGGTTTGCTCCTCCCTTCCTCTCTCGGTCTCTAATTGGAAAGGTTGCTGTCGCCCTTATGCTTGTGCAGGGCAAACCCCCAACTGACACAACCGTTAAGAGCACCACGTGATGCCACAAGAAACTGACAGCTCTTCCAGTCCACAGGACCTTCAAGGGAGTTGTAACTAGGGTGGCTATACGTCCCTGAGGGACACGCAAGAGACCGGACGGAGCCAGTCGAGCGGATGCGGCTGGTAGTTCGTTGGGGCTTGGAGGTTGGAAAAAGAGCGCGAGGATCTCGAAATCGAGCAAGACCAATAAAATTCTAAAACAGAAACGCTCTTCAGAGAAGCACAACCACTGATCCGACAAGCCTCTCCAGTCCTTTTACCGCCAGCGTCAGGGACTGTGGTGAGTTCAATTCTTTTTAAGATATGGATTTGGTTTTGCAAAAATACGGTCACCCTGGCTCGAACCATCCCGTCACCTGCTGTTGGGCCGAGGAGATCCAGGTTTGGAAGAGCAGCTCCAGTCGGGTCCGGTGGTACTTCCGAGTGGTCTTCACAGCGATAAAGATGTCACTGAGCAGCACTCGGCGCTCGACCCCTCCCCTGAGGGTGGGCGACGTCGTCATTCCTAACACACTGCACACTCCTGATCCCTCCTGACTGTTCAGAGCCTCGGGACGTCCTCCCGACGTGAGAGGCGCTTTCTTTACAAATGTAATTTTGTTGTTGTTGTTGTTGTTGTTGAACAGGAGGGAGACTTGCCCCACATCTTCGTCACCATTATTATTCCCATCGTCGTCGTCGTCGTCGTCGTCGTCGTGGACGTCGCCTTGGCCGCTCTGCTTCCTCCGTCACACTAGCCCGGGGCTCCTGCAGCTCAGCGGTAAGAGCGCTCGCCTCACGAGCGAGAGACGGGGGTTCGATTCCCGGCAGCGGGTCGGGGCGAAACCTTGGGGCGGAGTTTCCTGACTCCACCCGCTCGCCGATAATAATCCCTCGAGGAAACAAACCAATGCAACAACAATTTGGTCACTTCAATCCCAGGACTGTTTGTGGGGGACGCAATTGGCCCGGGCGCGTTTCGCCCCCAGAGAACGCACAGTCACTACGCTTTGCAGCGTATTTCTGTGAAAGCGCTTCGAGGCGTCTCGACGGCGTGATGAGGCGCTGTACCAAGTGCAGGGATTAGGGAACTGCCGCAAACGAAAACACATCTGTCGCCCAAAACACAGTAAACACCGGCCCCAAAAGATTAAAACAAGAAGGAGTTTTTTTTTAAAAAGAAAGCAAACCGCGTCCAATTGGGCGGGAAACCGACCCAACCTCGGCAACGTTACGCACGGGGAGGTGGGACTGCCAACGTCATGACGTACGGCGTGCTCCTCCCCCTGTCTGTCGCCCCTTCGCGCGCACGGGGAGGCGGGACTGTTAGCGTCATGACGCACAGCGTGCGTGCTCCTCCCTCTGTTTGTCTCCCCCTCGCGCGCACGGGGAGGCGGGACTGCTAACGTCATGACGCACAGCGTGCTCCTCCCCCTCCCTCTCTCCCTCTCTCTGTCTGTCTGTCTGTTCCCCCCCCACCTCGCGCGCACGGCGAGGTGGGTGGGGACTGCTGGCGTCATGACGCACAGCGTGCTCTGCCCCCCACCCCCGCCTCTCGCGCTCCGTCCGTCCGTCCGTCCGTCCGCCTCTCCTCGCGCGGCCGCCGCCGTGACATTTGCCCCCCCCTTCCCCTCCGCGGTGCGAGTGCCCGGATGTGGAGCTCCGCTGCGGCCGCCCTCCCGCCCACAGCCGCTGAATGAGGGACAAGATGCCACTTCCTGTGCAAGTCTTAAATTTTCAGGTAAAAAAAGGAGCTCCGGGGGAGGGGGGGGGAGAGGAGGTTTTTATTTTAAAAAAAGAAAGCCATTCCCCGCCGCGGTGTAGAGCCGAAATGGTGTGTGTGTGTGTGGGGGGGAGGGAGGGAGCTGTGTGTGTGGGGGAGTGGAGTGGAGTGGGGGGAGAGCTGAGGCGCTGACAGTTGGTGGCCGCTGACAGCGTCGGTTACCGAGAGACATTTTCGTTCGTGTCTCGTGTGCCGCCCGGCTTCACGCAACACCCTCCTCCCCTTCCTCCTCCTCCTCTCTCTCTCTCTCTCTCTCCCCCTTCCTCAGTGCCACTTATTTTACATGTGGCCCCTCCCGCGGCCCCCGCTGCCCGGTGGTGCCCCGGCCGTCGGACAAGAGAGTTGAGGGGGAGAGAGAGAGAGAGTGATGGCTCCAGACTGAGGCCTAGAAACACAGGCTTTCCTGCCTGGGCTCCTGTCTGCCTCTGGGAAGGGAATTGGAGGCTGCATTCTCTCTCTCTCTCTCTCTCTTTCTTTCTTCCCACTTTCTTTCTCTCTCTCTCTCTCTCTCTCCCTGGGGTTTAGGTTAGGCCACTGATCGAATGAGTCAGGCTCCTGCTTCTGGGACTGGAATTGGAGACTGTATTCTCTCTCTGCCCCCCTCTCTCTCTTTCTCCTTCTCTCTTTCCCCCTCTCTCTCCTCCCCGCCCTCCTCTCTTTCCCCCTCTCTCTCTTTCCCCCTCTCTCTCTTTCCCCCCTCTCTCTTCTCCCCGCCCCCCTCTCTTTCCTCCCCCCTCTCTTTCCTCCCCCCTCTCTCCCCACTCCCTCTCTCTCTCCCCACTCCCTCTCTCTCTCCCCACTCCCTCTCTCTTCCCCTCTATTTCTTTCCCTGGGCTTTATGTTAGGCCACTGATCGAATGAATAACTACTAAGGTTCCCTATGTAATTTTTTCTGTGGCTATTATGTTTCTAATTGTCTTCTGAATCTATTTTATGCAATAAAAGCCCCACAGGCTGTCTAATAAGGTCCAATTAAATTTAAAATAATAATCCTTACATTTAATGTAGTGCCTGCCTCATCCTGTCTTTGAGACGCCTCAAAGCGCTTCATACTTTAAAGTGAATTGACTATATTTTGTGGGTGAAAATAGGATTCAATGTGGGGATATTTGGGACCTAGCGAAGAGCTCTGTGGTACTTTTTTTAATGTCTGGGGTAATTTGAGGCTGGTGCTGTCTCTGACAGCATCACTGGGTGCTATCTAATACTTCTGGGCCCTTGTGACATCAAATTTCTATGGAGAATTTTTTAAATATTTCAAAACATTCAATTGGTTGGTTCACCTGGGCAGTGCAGGCATGCATGACTTATATCATATCTTGGCTTGTGAAACTGGATCATTATGAAACATTATCAATATGTTTTGTATTGTGTGACCCAGCCATGCTTTGTCACAAAGGTTTGTTACTGTATTAATTTGTTTACCAACAATTCTCTTCCTCCCACAAGAAATGTAGCTGTTTGATTGGTGTTGAATATATATAATGAACAAGCAGAATGTTCTTTAAAAGGATCCTTGCAGCTTCAGAACCAGTTATCCAACAAGTCAATCTTAAGTTTCAAGCATTTTGTGACTTTATGCTTGTGATTTGTTAGTGTCCTGTATGGTTGCTAAAAACATGATCGCAGAATGCTTTATTCGTAGTCTAATATTGTAAATAAACTGTTTTTTGTAAATGTTTCATTTAAATTGTTTCCTTCTCGCAATGCTAGTTTATGGACTTTGCCCTCTGATAAGATCTTGCTGTACAATAACAAAACTGTGTAGCCCCCAGCAACATTTCTAATTTGTTTACAAACTATAGTAATGTATGCAACTGTTGAGTGGTTGAAATCTCTCAGTTGCTATTCTAATCAGCACATAAACAAAATATTTTAAAACTTTTGAGCAAGAGAAAGTAAAGTCGAAACGGCATCTGCTGCTTTGGTAAGTTAATCTACCACCAGTTTGATTGTTGCGGCTCTGTAATAATGAGGTCGGACTGTAAGGTTGCCCAATAGCTCAAATCTTTGCGGGCTTAATTCCCCAGACAAGATGTTTGTCTGTTGAGAGAGATATTTATTGCAGTTGTGAAGAAGACTGTCTGTCTTGCTTCCTCTTGGATAGAGCAGCTTACATGATGATGTACAATTTTCAGTAATAGAAAATTAAACTATTAGTAGAGAATTGATTATACTCTCCTATTCTGGACAAGTAGAAATTCCTTCATGGATGAGCAACTACTGTATGTAATCATTGTATTTCTATTGCACAAGTTGAATATATTATATATGTATTACATTATTTCTTACATTAAAATCCTTGCTGCTTGTTCGGAAATAAAGTATTTGTACTTGTGTCAGTAGCCTTCTAATTCTAAATAATGCTAAGCATGTCTTAGCAATAAATAGACACTGAATGAAAAATATTATTTTAAAATGTGATGTTCTCAGTTGCAACAGGCCTTAAATAATATGTGGACAGTGACCACGAAAACAGAAAATCTTTGACCTATTTGGATATACATTTTAAAGTGCAAGAGCCAGGAACAATCAACTTATTTGACACCTGTTCATAGTTGAAATTGAAACTGGTCCAATAGACCAAGACAGTGTATCGTTGGAATTGTCTCTTGAACAATGATTACATTCTAGTGTTTGTGCTCGCTCACTATTCATTTATGTTATATCTCTATTTTTAGTTTATTTTGTATTACTGAAGACGTGATCTTGATCACTTGCCTTGCATATTGCAGACAAGTTGAGTAAAATTTTAGTACATTGGAAATCCTGTTTATATCCTGTGGCGCTAAATGAGATTACAGCAGAAAGTTGTTTTAAGCAATTCTGATTGTCTTTATTAAAACAATAGTCAGTTTGCAAATCTGTTTTTGATTTTCAGTATTATTCTAATTCCATTTTGAGTAAAGTCATCCAGGCCATTATTATTTTCATCAGGCAGAATGTGTGTTAGTATCTCTTAAATTAAAAACTAAAAATAAAGATTGTTATTTTGATCCTTGATGAGATGCCAGCAGCAGAGGCTCTGAATAACTGGATAAAATATGTTCTGTCTGTACCGTGTGTCTACCACTCTTACCTCCTTACTGTTCATTAATAAGATGATTAGTTTATTATTTATGTTTATTTAATCCCCAGCATTTTTTGCAAAATTATTCCCACAGAACATATATATATATATATATATAGATTGATACTGAAGAGAAGGTTTATTTCCACTGTGCTCTGTTGTCAAAAAATCCAGCAGAAGCGATCAATTTCAACAGTTTTGTAATTTTCATACCCAAGCTGCTCTTTGCTTCTGAGCCTGATAGGTGATCAGCTAGAGTCTAGATATAAAATGCATCAGTAGTGAGTGTTGCAGGCATAACTTCTTGATTGTTGCCTATGTAAAATCTTTGTAATCAAGGGTAAAATAACGTTTTTTTAATAAGTGGGACTAATATCTGTATGTCAGAAATAATCATTTATCTGTGGGACACTGGAGCTTTCAAAATGTAACTTAAGTATGTTTAAATCAATTTAGCTGGAATATATTTTAATTGTAAGGACCACCAGTCTACAACTGTAATAACTGATCAGTTTCGTTCCTCTTTCCCAGGCAAGCACTGTTTCAGGGTCAGGGAATGCAGATAGTCAGGAAGGGTGCCGAGATAGCTCCACTCCCAGCTCAGCCACTTCTTCGCTCTCAGACCTTTACCTGACACCTCACAGCAGTAGGTCAGACTTGTTTCTACATAGCACAGCAGGAGATTTCAGCCTTAGCGCCAGCTTGTCAGCCTGCACTCTGCTCTACGAGGTACCTTGATCACCAGGAAACCTAATGAAGGAAGCTCACGACTTATGCTTTATTTTTGGCAGTTTGGTTTTAGAAAGAAGTGCATATTGTTTATGGTTAAATATTATTTGTGTGGTGGTACCAGAGAAGAAACTCTTACAGGCAGCATGTATATCACTCTTCTCTTCTGTGGTTCTCAAAGGCTTTGAGCTTTTTGCAGGACCTTGTTTGTACAACAGTGGCTCTTCAACATTGTAATCAACTTGCTTTTCAACATCAGTTAATCACTTTACACTTTTGTAAAATTCTGGAGGAAGTTCAAGGCCTTTTTAAAGCTTTTTAAACCTGAAGATGAGAAGACCATTCACTATCGTTCAACTATCAGTACTTATAAGTCCAAAAGCCCCCTCCATTTAAAAAAAAAGCAAAATTGGAGGTTGCAATGGTGCATCTCATTTAATTCCGATACAATTGGTATAAGAATTAAAGAAGAATAATCCCTCCAAAACCAAAAACAGTAATAAATTGGTCATTTTCAATCTACGACTGTTTGTGGGACATTGCTGTGCGCAATTGGCTGCCGCGTTCGCCCACAAATACACAGTCAATTCACTTTACAGTGTGTTCTGTGAAGCGCTTTGGGACGTCCTCCCGACGTGAAAAGCGCTATATCAAATGCAAGGATTATTATTGTTATTATAAGAGTTCTACTATCCTTGGAAGCACAACTTCCCCTGGCTGTTGTATGTTTAATTTACCTGTGGTTGATTTCCATGGTTCAGCATTTTTTGTGTTGTACGTGCTTTTGAAGCATTAATGGAGATCTGATTTGCAGTAATGCTTTTAGATTTAAGTCAGTATTGTAATCGAAATGGAGATGTCTTGAGTGAACGGGCTGTTTATACCTGGGCTAAAGCTTTCTGTGACCCTCCTGCTACATAAATATTCATCTAATTTGTTTTTTAATCAGTGTTTACCAATTGGGCTACAGGATTTTGCTAAATTTATTAATCATGGAAAATGTATCAAAGAGAATTTCTTAACCTGTTGACAGCCAGAGGAAGCTTTGCTTGAAGTTCAGAGCAGTGCCTACCGAAAAACACCGTGACAAATTGATATCAAGCTCACATACTAGAATAAGCTTTGTTTCCAATCATGCTAGCTTATAGACTTTCTTCTTTATTTACCGCAGAACCTGGGTTTCATTACGAGCAAATAGCCAGGAAAACCTGGCTGTTAATTTAAGATATGTCTGGGATATTTATGATCTATTGTTACCTCTTACAAATGTGTTCCACAAGGGACTATAAGCTACATAAATGAGGGTAAGTCATCTTTAAAATTGTTGGGGCCAGTTACAGAAATGCACTTCCAATCCAGGACAATTTCTGTGGTTAAATGTATGCGTCGCTTTATCATGGTTCTTGGTGGGTGGGTTTCACTCCATATATAGCAGTACTGTGCTATATAGTGGGGCCGAGCAGCTTGATTCCTATTTTGGTTGAAAGCATGTCTCTGTTAAATTAAATAGAGCGGCTTCAGGACATGCAATTACTGGAGTAGCTGTAACCCAATCCTGAGATTCTAGGAAATGGAAGTAGGACTTGCTGCATGTAGGATATCATTTTCTAACCATTTTTCTCTTTTAAAGCTAGGGAGAAAATTTGATAAAAGTATTTATCTTACAATTTCCTCTCCCATTAATAATATAACTGATCAGCTACACACAGCAAACATGCATAGATTTTAAATTGTCAGCATGAGGTTGATCTCTCGTTCCAAACCTTGAATTACTGATGAAGATGTTTTGTAAGATGACCCATTTAAAATGTCACTTTGATCATGCTACCACAGTAGTCTAGTTTCAATTCAGTAGTCTTGGGCCAAACTAAGATGAGCATAAAGTTACAAGCTGAATTAGCCACATTTACAACCATTTAGCTGCAAGCCCATGGCTCAAATGGAATTGTAGAGCCAACTTTTACCATGACGTGCACCACCTCACCCAAGCTACTGTTCCAGAGTGGCACTGCTATGTTGAAAGGAGTGCAACGTATTTCGCAGTATGCATCAACACTAGGATTTTGAATGACAGCTCTTTTAGCCGTACTTTATTTTATTGGTGAATTTGGGGAGTGGTTCTCCAAAGATGGTAAATTTATTCACCTTGATGAGTGAGCACATATTATTCTCCACTGACTGAGAAGTATAGTGGCGAGCAGAGAATCACCTTCCAGTGTGCAATGGTAGACACCTCGTCAAAAATTGCTGTTCATTTTTCATTTACTAAATGGCCACCATGAGTGGATTATCTTTCCACTATCTATGCGTGATCCCTAACAGGCATGCTTTTTTTAAAAAAAGCTTTGTTGTGAGGTATTTAATAAGCTGATATTCATTGTGTGATTCAAAATTCTTCTCCTACATTGTTAGTCTAATTCCCCTTTTTCTGTGATCCGTTATTTTGCGGTTGGTTTAGTTTTTCTGTTTGGTCCTAATATTCTGTTAATTAACTTCAGTTCCAGTTTTTTCTCTAACATACTAAATAAAAATATGAGAATTGTTGTCAAGAACGTGATTGTTAGAAAATCTGCTTTTGATAAATAAATATTTTTGCTCTCTTTTCTCTCTGTCTCTTTCTAGGGGGCAGTGGAACCAATGCAAATAGATGCTGATCCTCAAGATGATCAGCAGAATGCACCTGACACAAACTATGTGGTGGAAAACCCAACACTGGTACGTCAGTATTTTATACTGCCTATTTTGTACTTCAGTGTACGATAAATATATACTCTATGTATGGAGTGTGTAAAAATTAAATCTACCTCAATATTTTATAGATCAAATAATTCAAAAAAAAAAGAATATTTCCTTTGTGAATACTTCTACCTTCATGTTTCTTGACTGCTTAAGAGGATAAACCTCTTAAATAGAAAAGTGAAACTGCCCAACCTCAGTTTTCTAGCCTGTTACTTTACTATTACACTAGCCTCAAGTATTGAGCAAATGTCAGTGGTAATTTTGTACTTCCGCTTCAACTCTTTGAGGAGAAGTTGTGTACTTTGAACAATGCAGCACCGCTTGAATCTAAGGACCTGAACTTCGGATAGAAAATTACACAAGGTGAATTTCCCATCCTTCATTCTGAATAAATTGCTCTCTTTCTCGTTGGTGTTATGAATTCAATCTCAGTTGTGCTATTTGTATAATCTTGTAGAATAAAACATAAGAATATAATTTTGGACTGAGACCTGTCTGATCAGCAACGGGCAGTGGCTGTGGAGAACCTTTGTTTGGCTCAAGACTAATTGGCAAGCTGGTTGAATTTTCATTTGCAGTTATTTTGCAGATGCAGATTTCATCACATTTCCTCCCAATTGGCAGTATGTTGGGGTATGTATATGAGATTACTGTGCTGCAATCAGGAAGAAAGAATGTATAGTATCACAAAGGGAGAGCAATTCATTTTAGTTGGTCAATGTCTCATTGATATTGACAAACTTGCTTTAAGTGTATGTGATGTGATGGATTTGTTGAATGTTCATTGGTAATCTGCATTTTCTGTCTTGCAGGATCTGGAACAATATGCATCTAGTTACAGTAGTTTGATGCGAATTGAAAGGCTCCTGTTTATTGCAGAGCACTGCCCGCAACTGCGCATTGAAGCCCTAAAGATGGCATTGTCCTTCGTTCAAAGAACATTTAATGTAGATATGTATGAGGAAATTCATCGCAAACTGACAGATGCTACAAGGTATGGATGAAAACTGGCGATGCTATGACTTAGCCCAATCTCACTGAGAAAACATGCAGTTCCATTTTACAATCTGATGTCTTTGGTTGTGATGATTTGTATTCACTGAGATAGTCTGCTGGTGATGTTGCAGTAATGGACATGCAGACTGAACAGAGCTCCTGTATTTTGAGGTTATAGGGTTATTTTCCTGCAGTCTTTGCACTTCCATCCAAACCTTACAATTTCCCAGAATTGTTCTCCTTTCTGCTCAGGTTCACTCCTGGCCACTCTCATCAATTACTGATTCTAGGATTCCACAGTCAGACGCATGGGAATAATGCAACCTGTATACCTGAAGTAAAAAGGCTCTATTAATTATCACGGACCATAGATTCTTGGATATAGTGAGGATGGACCAGCCTTTTAGTGACATTTGCTTTTTTTGCACTGGAGACGAAGATAGCACAATGCTAAATCTTCACAATGATGACTAAGTAGTCAAGGGAACAGCATAAGCACATAACCAGGTAGAGAATGTGAAACAGATTGGAAATAAGTAACAACAGAATGGATAGGCATTGCTCTGTCCCTTCCAGAGTCTTCATATCAAAACTGTGACAGCTTTACAGAAGTGTATCATGCTGTTAATGTGTGCATAGCATTTCGCTAGTGATGTTGAGCTCTCCGAACCCTAAATCCTGGCTGGAATAAAATATTTTTTGCCAATGGAATTTTTTTCCGCTATATCTAAACTAAGATTTTAAAACAAATGTGTTGCTACAGGGAAGTTCAGGGTGTGCCAGATGCTGTCCCTGAAGCTGGGCTGGAGCCCCCGACACTGGACACAGCCTGGGCAGAGTCTACACGGAAGAAAGCTTTGCTAAAACTGGAGAAACTAGACACAGACCTGAAGAACTACAAGGGCAACTCTATTAAAGAGAGCATCAGGTAACCATACAATTTACATTTATATAGCACCATTCACATAGGGAGGATGACTCAAAAGCACTCATTCAAACAAAATTTTGATTGAAAGATGGAGTACAGCTTCAGTGTTGCTATTACAGTGCTTTGCTGATCAGCAAGCCCTGGATAAAACCAAGATGCTTTCCGTACTACATTACCGAAATCCAATCAATTGCACAAGAATGTAGGAGAGGTCCAGTTGAAGATCCCGAGAGATCTGGATGAAGTCCCTTCGGCCTATTTGATCTCGTCCTTTCAGAATACCAACCCTACTGTTCATTTATTGCAGCAACAAATTCTCTTGATGAGTGCAGCAGCCTCGCCTCGACCACTCATCCTGTTCCAGTTATTAATTCATCTGTGCAAAGAAATGCTTCCGGACGTTCATTCTGAAATGACCTTTTCCAACCCTGAACCTGTGCCTTCTTGTTCTACTGTCTTGACAATATTGTTCTAGGTTTACTTTCTCAATCTCATTTAGAATCTTGTATTCTGGATTTCCTGATCGTTATATCAGGTAGATTTTCTTGTGCAATGGTGGTACTGACTGATATGATTGTTGATATAAGACATATGATTTAACTTTCTCCTTAGGAGAGGACATGATGACCTCGGTGATCACTATCTAGACTGTGGGGATCTTAGTAATGCACTGAAATGTTACTCACGAGCTAGAGACTATTGCACAAGTGCAAAGCACGTCATCAACATGTGTCTAAACGTCATCAAGGTATGCATGGCAATATTATTGACTAGTAGCCAGTAATTAGTAAGGAAGTACTGATAGAAGTGACTCAACTTTGAGCATTCATCAGTTGAAATAAAATCACACGGCTTGATGTACAGGCTTATAACTGTATACCTTGCTGACTTATACCTGTATGTCACAGCCATACATTCAATTTATGTTGGAGGTGATTTAGTGGGTAAGCTGCCAAACAAGTCATTAAGTTAAAAGTCAAGAATGAATGAGTCACTTCCCATCTCTGTGATTCTGTAGCAATACTCCGTGGCGCTCAGTGAATGATAAAGAGGGTTTGGTAGCAAGAATGGAACTTGAGCTCTGTTTCTCACTCTGTGCTCTGAAAATATGAAAGACCGTGTGTCTGAAAGGCACACGGTCCATAATGCTTCTCATTGAGCATTTCTTCATCGATTCCATCGAACATTTAAGCTAAGAACTGAGAATATATTGCCTCAATTGAGGATTTAGAAGTGTTTCTTTAAACCTATGATCTGAGGTTAACATTTTACTTGTTTGACTACTGAATACAGCTTCATAGGAAATTGGTCCTTGGTTAATATGTTACTATTTATTGAGAAGCTTCTATTGCAGCTCTTTGCAACGAAAACCCGTTTAAATGTAATTTGCAAACTGACCTTTTTAAATTCCTTCAAACAATGATTGAGAGACGGGGCAATTAGCTGTCGGCATTGGGTGGACATCACTAGGTGGTGCTGTTGAGCTAACGCCTGTATTGTTTCATTGTTAAATCAGCTGTAATTCCATATTCGCAGGTCAGTATCTACCTCCAAAACTGGTCCCATGTTCTCAGTTATGTAAGCAAGGCAGAATCTACGCCAGAGATTGCAGAGGTCAGTAAATGTATCTTAACTTCACTTTTTTTTTAAAAAAAGGGAGAATGGATTCAGTTGTAAAAAGTTGGGAGCTTGACAGTATGCGTAGCTGGACTTGTGAATGAAGTTTAATGCAGATAAATGCAAGGTACTATATATAGGAGGCATTTATACTTCATAGATTAGTAACGGTTTGCCAAGTGGAAGATGCAGGAGACCTGGTGGTGTTAATTGACTCATTGCTCGTAATGTTTAAACCATCTGAGAAAGCAATAAACTAAGCAGTTGGGAGGTTGGGCTATAATGTCTAATCAGTTGAGTTCAGATTTGGTTGTACCTTGTTCTCTCCTATGGAAAACACTGCTCACTGTTCTGGGCAAGTTTAGGACAGACTTTATTTCTATACAAAGAAGGTTTTAAAAAAAATCAGCTGGAATGAGTTCTAACCATTCCAGCTATTCATTTAATAATTTAAGCACTTAAATCTGTGACAGGGATTTGCCAGGTTTGGTATTCTAGAAGCATGAGATCAGATGGGCTAAAAGATCATCTTCATCCGAACTCACAGGATTTCATGACAAGAAGTTTCAATGTTTTTTTCAAAATCTGGTTCCTGCCGCTAGATGTCAGTCAAACACAACAACGTTTGAGCTGTTCTTGTTAGAAACCACAGCACTGAGTAGATCTGTGTTTTGTCTTTTGATGCAATCGTATGGTGTGGCAGTGTGACAATTGAATCTTTTCCATTATATATCTGTAAGGGTTTGTTTGCTCATACAATATTTTCTCTTCACAGCAAAGAGGAGAGCGGGACAGTCAGAACCAGGCAGTGCTGACCAAACTGAAATGTGCAGCAGGTACCACCTAATCTGTCCATTCATTGTCTTGGGAGGTGGGGAAAGGAGGGGAAAACATAATATAAATTGTGCCTAAATGCCTAAATCTCCAAATAAATTGCAGTATTCATTTCTTCCAGTAGTAGACTCATCAATGTAGAAGTGCAACAAAAAATGAGTGTATTGTTATTTTAAAAATAAATTTATTTTAAGTTTTGAAGTGCTTTCATGTTACCACGATTGCCAATAAATTACCTGCGTGAATTATTGGTGCTGAATAACATTGTTGAATCATTAATTACACTGTTAGCTTGTATTTCATATTTCAGTACGTCTCTGTATTTTGCTTTGGTTGAGACTCATTTCTCCTCAGTTTTATGCCTACTAAGCATCTTGTCTACAGCGAGAGAGAGAGAGAGAGGGAGGCTGAAATCTTTTCCTATCTTGATGCTGATCTGATGTGCATATTAACTCTCCACATTCGTCTGCTTAAGTAGCTTTCTTTTCCTTTTACCACTCCATTTTTTAAGTTAATTGCGGAATGTTTGAAATATTAAATACTTTTTCCAAACAGTGGCATTCTCCCTTAATAGTGTGGTTTATTCATCAGTAAAATCTGCACGGAGCTATTCAATTAGAAAATATTTGCTCCTTTGTGCCTAGTGTTCTCATAATTTATCTATTATTGTATGAATAGTGTCATTTAAGCAAATGTAGCAGAACCTTGCTATTCAATTATAAATTAAGAATAGCAGTTAGGCCAGTTAAAGTAATTTATGATTCACCCACAGAGGCTTCCTCCAAATGTTTGCTCATTCTATTGGCCTCTAGTATAATATCTATTATTATTGTTGTTGTTGTTGAATATCTATGGAAATTGTAAAGCTGTATCTTAATCTTTAAAGTACCTGTATGAAAGTGTTCGTCAGACTACATACAGCATTTATGGGCACCTTCTCCCTTTCCTGTGACCTGCAGCAAATATGTCTTCTAGTCTCCATTGGCTGCCCATGAGCTATGAAGTTGAGATTCGCAGCAAGCCTTACAATCTGGCCCTGAACAATTAATTAATTATGGAGTCCTATAACTCAGTGGTTGGAACACTTGCCTTGCAAGCGAGAGACCTGGGTTCGATTCCTGGTAGGGCGAAATGTTGGGCAAGTTTCCTTACTCCACGCTCCTCTGTTTACCTAGCAGTAAGTAGGAATCCGGTTGTTAGTCGATTGGCAGATCGCTTTTCCGGGGATAATAATCCCTCAAAAAAACAATAATAATTTGGTCACTCAATCCACAACTGCTTGTGGGACACTGCTGTGCGCAATTGGCTGCTGCATTTCGCCCACAAATATACAGTTAATTCACTTTACAGTATATTCAGTGAAGCGTTTTGAGACGTCTAGAAGATGTGAAAAGCGCTGTATCAATTGCAAGTATTATTAGTATTATTTGTTCTGAATTGTAAATTTGTATTATGCACAGGTCTGGCAGAGCTAGCAACTCGAAAATACAAGCAGGCAGCCAAGTGTTTTTTGCTGGCTTCCTTTGATCACTGTGACTTCCCAGAGGTAAGGACCATTTTAGCCGTGTATCTCTTACTTTACGTGGGGATAGTACTGAATGGTTGAAATTGGCAATGAAGCCCAATGAAGCAATTCAATAGCCAATAACAACTTGAAGTTTACATTTATACAATGAGCCTAAAGTCTTAATAAAACTTTTGAAGTCACAGTTTTGGTAGCATTAAAAAAAAATCTTTAAAGCAATAAGCAGCAATATTTGGATGAGTATTTAAAGTGAAATATTATAAAAGGGTGCGTGGGAAAAGGAATTGGAATCATAGTAGTTAACTCCAGTGAAGGAGCACCAACATTGTCAGCTTTGGCATTGTCAGCTGAGCAGCAGATTAGCATCCTCGTGTCTGTATGTCAATCCAAAGTGGCCAGCCTTTAAATAATTCAGGACTAGCTGAGAATTGCTGGGAAGAAAAAGTGTGGTGGTTCACTGAAATAGATTCATATGCTTTCCTGGAAAATCCTGTGATAGGGCCTTGGATCTCCATAGCAGTCTGACAGTGCTCGTAAGGTATATTTCTTTTAATGTTCAGGATTTTTTAAATTAGGAATTTTGATGTACAGAGAGAGTGCTTTGTAAATCTCCCTCCCCCCGCACCCCCCATTCACTACTCAGCGCCTTGGGACATCCTCCTGACGTGAAAGGCGCTCTAAAAATGTTATTTGTTGTTATTTAAATGTGGCCCTATGAGGTTTGGAAATGGTGAAGCTGATAACAACAGCTTGCATTCATATAGCGCCCCTCACGCAGGGTAGCCGCCCAGAGCGCTTACTCGCATACTGATATACCAGTGAGTTTTGAATGCTGCTTTTGCTCATTCAAAGACACATGTTTAGGTCTGAATAATGGGGACCCTGAACTGTATCCTACTCTGTTTATATTTGGACAGCATGCACCCAGCACAACCGTTTAACTTGACCTACCATTTGCTTTCTTGTAGCTGCTCTCTCCTAGTAATGTAGCAGTTTATGGAGGACTTTGTGCACTGGCCACTTTCGATAGACAGGAACTGCAGCGGAATGTCATCTCCAGCAGGTGAAGCCAACATTGACTTGTCAGAAAGACGTCTCCAAGGATGTGTTCCCTATTTTTCTTTCAGAAAAATAAGCTGGTCAGGGGAGACATTTTATTTAAGAGAAGTACTACTTTAACATTTCATGATTACAATCCTAGCTTCTTGCCCATGGTCACTAGCACAACAACAACAAATCACATTTACACAGCGCCTTTCACGTCGGAAGGACGTCCCAAGGCGCTGGACAGTTAAGGGTTTGCACCCGAGCTTGGGGTTGGAATCAGCAGGGTTAGGGAGTAGGGGGAGTGGTGGTCGGAGTGTGGCCGAAGGTACAATCAAAGAGGAAGGCCTTGAGATGGTCTTTGAAGGAGGTGAGGGAGGGGACAAGGCAGAGGGATTTGGGAATTCAGTTCCAGAGGTTGGGGGAGGTTATATTACTGGGATGGTATATCTGTTACGGTGTAACACAGAGCCCAAAGGCAAGCTCAGGGAGTGCATAAACCACCCTTGAAGCAGAAGGACGAGCTCATCTGATCTTGATCTTCAGTATACAAATATGTTCAGTTCCCAGAATATCATATAATTTCAATCCACTTCCCGGATTTGGGGTGAATTATGTTTATTCTCTATCAGGTTACCAGATAGAATGCGCTTCTGACTATACACATGTCTGCCATTGACTAATGATGGTGCTTTGGTTATGGTATTGTAATTCTTTGCTGTCTGGGATATAAATCTGATGAACATGGTGCTCCCCAAGGGAATATTCCAACAGAATATTATATTTAATCTTAAATGTGTAACTGGATCTGCTGAAGAGAAGAGGTAATTCTTTACTCTTTTCTCCCCCACCACAAGCTCTTTCAAGTTGTTCCTTGAATTGGAACCCCAGGTCCGAGATATCATCTTCAAGTTTTATGAGTCAAAGTATGCTTCCTGTTTGAAAATGTTAGATGAAATGAAGGTGAGTCTGAGACCCCGAGCAGACTAGGAAATATAATGCTCTTTTACGAGAGCAGAATTCAAACTTCTGTGATTTGCTTTACTCTGTAATCCGCAACCTCCCCTCATTATCTCATCCACATGGTATTCAAATAAGATATCCCTTGTAATTGAATTGCATTTCTTGACTATTCCATTTAATAAGGAGAAATCTTTTGATAATTATCGCAGTAATAGTGGCTTGTGTTTAAATCCTCACACGTGTTCAAATCTCTTCACTCTCTGGCACCGCTCTACTTCTCCGACCTTCTCACTCCCCATTCCACCACCCGGCGCTTTCACTCGACTGGCACTGGCCTCCTGCTCGTCCCTCACACCCTCCACCCCACCATCGGGGATCGCACTTTCAGCTCCTACACCCTGAAACTCTGGAACACTCTCCCTCACTCTCCCACTCTCTCCCCTTTTGAAGTCACGCCTGAAATCTTTCCTTTTCGACCGTGCTTACGGACACGCCCCCCCCCCCCCACCCTCCCTCGGCTGGAAGTCAGGCTTCGCCACTGTTAAGCACTCTGAGACGCTATCCTGCGTGGAGGGCGATATATATGCAAGTTGTTGTTGTTACCTTTTTCATTCAACGTATGCATTTACATTTTTCTTTCCCAGGACAATCTTCTACTTGACATGTATTTAGCTCCACATGTCAAGACACTCTACACGCAGATCAGGAACCGAGCTCTCATTCAGGTACATGGAGAACTCACCACATGGTACCCTTTTGCCAATTAAGACTCGATGTTTTTCTCAGTTACAAAGCGTTCCATTAATTATAACCATTTTTATTTTCACTGACTTGAAAAATTCCAATTCTTTTCAAAAGATTTCCATCATTTATTTACTTGATAACGTGACACGATAATGTCTAAATGCAGTCTTTGTCTATTGCTAGTGCAGTATAACCAAGCGACGGACTTCATTTAGAACAAGTTTATTGATTTAGAAATTTAATAAATAAAGTCAATTTAGTACAAATTTATTGCAAAATACCGGGCCACCCCAGAAGTAACATTAGAATGATATATTACCCTTTTCACTCAAAGCTTATGCTCTCTTGGGGTGACTCTTAACAAGAAAACAGATAGATTTAAGACACCAAAGAAATGAAAAATAGACATCTTAAATAGAAGTCGATGGTTTAAATTCATAGTCTATTAGATTTTACCAGTTGTGCCTGAAAGACACTGAGTATTGTTGTTGATTTTAGTATTTCAGCCCATACGTTTCTGCTGACATGCACAAGATGGCCATTTCTTTCAATACCACAGTGGGTGCACTAGAGGACGAACTGACGCACCTTATACTGGAGGGATTAATCAATGGTAGAATTGATTCGCATAGCAAGGTGAGTGAGTTCATGCCGTCATTCTCCAACTAGGTACAAAGTAATGTACCAGCACAGGTTAATTCTTATGGGATAAAATGTCAAGGCAAAATAGCAAAGCTTATGATGGACTGAAAGATCCATTTCTCTTAAGCAGATTTTGCTGCTTTAGACACAAACTTTATACATTTAAAGTAATAAAATCGATGACCCTGCTAGTAGTTCAAAAGTCGTCCTCGATTTCTTTAACTTGGCTTCAGTGCTATAGAGACTTGCTGCAAGGGTTAAGTTCAATTTATAATATTAACAACATGCTTTTATTTATTATGAGTATTTTCTTGTTTTTGTAACTTTTTGTTCACTGTCAGAATCTTTTATGATAATCTAAAATGTCCAAAGGCAAATGAAGACAAATTACAGCTTTTTGATTATTTTCATCTTTTGTGGACTCTCCTTCCAGCTAATTGTCTGGCACAGTAATTTAGAATTTTTTGAATTTTGCTGAAGTGCCTACATTTTAATAAGCCAAATTAAAAATGATTGTGTGTCATTTAATAAATCTTTTGAGCATCTTGCTGATTGCCAGAAGAAAATTGGAACCATTACAAGTGGTTTTATGATTAAATGCTATAAATAAGCAGATATGTAAAATTATTTTTCAATTCAGTTGTGTTCCAGAACCATCTAGAAAGGATTTTGTTTCTCCGAGAATTTCAAACTCTCTGCTGTACTGTTTGAAGTTTTTTTTATAAGTTACCACTTAAGTTTTGAGTAAATATGTTTTATTAATAAAAAAAGAATACTTACTACTTTCAAATTCTCTCTTGGTTCCCACATGCCCCACAGCTTTTATCTATAGTAGTTTGATGCAGTCAACCTACATCTGGCTTTTGGCCAGTTTCAGATGGTAAGGAGGTGCACAAAAGTAGCATTGCCTGTACTTTGCTCAGAAGTACTTCGACTTTGCTTAGCATTGCCACAATGGCCTGTTTGGGATCAAGAATCTGTGTCTTACCATTCCCTGTAAGCTGCACGTGCATGTGCTGAAATCCTGCAATGATCAGCATACCATAGGGGGTATTCCAGGACATTGTTATTAGGGTGTAGAAACTCTAAGTAAATGTTGATAGACTGTTTTATTGGTAGTTGATTGATCAACACAATCCTCAATAATGGGGTCTAATTTGTAGCATTTCTTATTAGTGAATCCTGTTGGTATTTGCGCCAAATCAGCAGGAACTCTGCTCTGGAGGTAAATCACGTGCGATTGGTGTTCTCAATGATCAGCATAAAGTGCTTCCAGTGGGGAATCTCCCTTGCATGACTCAGGTCGATTATTAAAGAATTGCATGAAGAAATACCTCACAATTAGAGTCATAGAGTGGTAATATAATCAGCTGAGAATAGTACACCTGAAATATTGTACCATACTGTTAACTGGCTGTTTTTTTTTTAAATCTCAGATTCTGTATGCCAGGGATGTAGATCAACGCAGCACAACATTTGAAAAGTCCTTGCAGATGGGCAAAGAGTTCCAAAGAAGAGCAAAAGCCATGATACTTCGAGCTGCAATTCTGCGCAACCAAATTCACGTCAAGGTACATGGGCATTAAATGATTAAGCCATCAATATATTACACTGTTCGTAATTACCTGCCGAGCAGTTGTAGTCAGTGGAATTTTTGCAGTGCAAATTTGATACAGAAATGAGCCATAAATGTAATTAAATGCCTGGGAAATGTACATGTACAGCTTTCAGGCATGTCTGTAGCTTATAACCTACATTTTATTAACACTTTGAATTTTAGATTTAAAAATCGAATGGCATAGATTTTTTTTGACAAAGAAGGCTGCAGATAAATATTGTTAGAAGTCGTATTTTGGAACTCAATTTACCAACACTATATTTTGTTATAAAGGTATTCACCTCTGACTGCTGCTGCTGCATCAGGTTGATATACTGCGCAATAAACACGCATAGAAATAATAAAGCAACAACTCTCTGGGAAATTGCCTAAGAATTTTCAAATAAAATTATTTAGTTTGTGCACTATGCTCAATAAACCTTTTGCTTGTTGAAAGACTGTTATTCATTTCCTCCACTTTACCAAAATAATCCCTCAATTTTAACAACAGATCCTATTAATCTTTTATGTAGCTTTTGCCTGTACAGTACTACATTTTTGCAATGCTCGGTTGCGACATAAAATTACGATTTCTGAAAATATTAAATGTATTGGGGACTGTAACTTTATTTAAGAGACATTCTGCAGAGAACGTACAAATTATTGCCGCAGGTGAATGAAATCTCCTCCAACTATTTTGTTCAAATCCTGTTCACTAACTAGTATAATTTTGCTTTGTAATCTAGTTGTTGCCTGATCTTGAAAGATATTAGTGGTGCTTTTTCTGTTCTGTTGTTTACTTTTGCTACTGTCTGTCATTTGTGTGCACCTTCTCATTGAATTTTCAGGGTTCTAAGCTATTTCAGATTTTGTTAAGATAATTACGCCTGATGTTTTTAGGATAAAAATGATCTGCCTCGTCCACCTCTGATACTGCGGTCATGGTTAATTGATTTTTTTTAATTTCCCTACAGTCTCCTCCACGAGAAGGAAGCCAAGGCGAACTCAATTCCGCAAACAGTCAAACTCGAATGAGCACCAACATGTAATGAAACAAAGACCCTTTTAAAGAAGAGCCAGTACTGTGTGCTTTGCCTTCCACAGTTCTGTCAACAAAGAACTGCATTTTGGCTTTAAAAAAAAATTCAAACAGTTGTAGAAGTGAACCTCTATTCTGCTGTTTTTGGGGACACGAAGAAAGTTTTGCTGTTTAAGTTAAACAAAAAAAAACCTTTGGATTAAAGCGGAAGACCAACTGTGTGCCACAGGATCCAAAATCTTTACTTAAAAACATTTTTTTAATTATTTGCAGGATCCTAATTGTGATAACAGTGTGGGGGAGAGAGAGAGATCTCAACAGTCACGTGACAAGGTTTTGTTTTCTACAAAACTGTGAAAAGAGCGATGGAATAATAAATGGAGGATATTGTACCAGTGAATGATGCGTTGCTGTTATTTCATGAGTGGTAAAACCCCATCACAATGGAAGTGGAGCAGACCTGAGTGAGTTATGGGAGCCTCTCACATGGTGAAAATAAAAGCAGTGACCATCATCGGTGCGATATTCTATTCGTTCTAGAGGCATTGTTGAAAAGTGCTTTGAAATCCTTTTGTGGTAAATATCACAGGATTTGATTGGAGATATTACACAAATTTTGAGTTTTAAACTTGTTTTTGGTCATTGCTCCTTTAAAATTGTGCTATCCCCGCGCCACACTGCTTCTGTCAGCCAAAATAGTGGCATGGATGTGCTGCATGGCTACTGTTGGCTGACACTGTTTTTGTGTTTGAATAGAGGAACTCATGCTTCTGCGTGTGGTTCTGGGAGCGGATCCTCTGCTCTTCCTCAATTCTGCGTTTGTGGTGCTTTATCTAAGCAGCAACAATTAACATGAAGAGTAGTCTATAATTCAGGCTTAAATGCCTTGATATTCCAACAACTTAATGCTAAATTATTGGCGACTCATTTTAATTTAACCACAATTTTTTTTTGCTCGTCAGGAGTGTTTTTCAACAGTGCTTTTAGAATGAAATGTTCCCTTCAGTCATCATTCTGAATGCTTTTGGCTGGTGTTTTTAATTTCTCCCATCAAAATGTATGATGTTATAGTTAATGATCAGTACCGGTTGTTAGATTACGACAGTAACTGTTGGCACAATCGTATGAGTATTAAAAAAAAACTTACAAGATTAGTATGAATTTTCCATTAGTTTAGACTTTAATGCACTGGATGATACAGATTCTTCAGGTCTGAACAACATTCAAAATAAAGGTATGCTTTATTTAAAAAAAGGAAATTTAATTGCAGTTTCGCAGCCGTAGTGAACACAAATATATAGAAAGAGAGAGAGGATATCTTGCTGTTGACAGTGAGTTGCAGTTTTTTCACAAACACGAAGGACCATTCACGTGAATACTGATGAGTTCTGACAATAATAATCCTTGCATTTGATATAGCGCCTTATCGCATCTGCAAGATGTCTCAAAGCGCTTCACGGAATGTACTGTAAAGTGAATTGACTATATTTTGTGGGAGAAACGCAAGCAGAACCAGTTGGAACTGACGGTCACCAGTGAGATTTTAGGGTTTCTTCTGTGGGTGTGAGTTGCCTTTTTTGAATTTCAACCCTCTTTAGATTACTTCTGGAATACTGCGTAAGATCGCTGAACTTGAAACGTTTGCATTTCCCAGGTTATTGTTCGCACTTTTGACTTTTGTAAATGATCTTCTGGGTACAACCACAGAATAAACGTCACTTTAAAAAAAAGGAAAGCTGTCCCTTGACCTTTCAACTGTTGCATTTATGAACGATACAGTGTCTAGCTTTTTCTTTTCTTTTTTTCTTCCTGCATATTTATAATACACTGTCAGAGGCTCATTGCCCTACTGATGGTATGTCTTCTTACAGTTGTAATACATCACAGAGCAGCAATACAGTGGTTTCCATGCCTGTTGGGAATCATTTTGTTACGAATACATTAAGTTGCCGTGGAGGCCTCTAGCCGTTTTAACAGCTTAGGCAGTTGTCCAAGATCATATTTGGCTGAGGGAATAGAAAACTTTTTTTTAAACTGGCAGGAAAATAATACAAATAACCACTAGTTCATGATTATTGCCTTAGATTTTTAGTTAGATATCTGGTTATCATTTTATAGTTACTAAGAACTGAATGGCTGTGTGTGTGTGTGTCTGTATGTTTTCCTCCCTCTTTCCGTGAGACTTGGATGATTAGTTCTCATCACTCAGATTGGGGCTATTGGTCACAACAGCATTTTGAAACCTCGTGAAACTGTGATTTACTCCACTTCAGACAGAGAGAATAAAGGTGCTTCTTTCTCATTCAAATGGTCTCTCTCTCCTTCCCTCTTCCATCTTAATGTTTCTTTTCACAGCAAGATTGTACTACATCAAATTATGTGCTCAAGACCCTCCTATTTGACCGTGCCTTCGGTCATCCTCCTACCCCTGCCCTCCACCCCTCCGGAATCCCAACCACCAGCACTCGGGTGTGGATCCCTGACCTTCCAGCGTCTTGGGATATCCTCGTGTTAGGAAAGGCGCTGTACAAATGTAATTTGTTGTTGTTGCAGTGGAACTGGCACAGAGTAACAGTCAGTCAGCAGCTGATCAAGTAGAAATTCAACCTGTGCTTCCCAGAATTTAAGATGTTCAGCTGCTGTTTAATTTAACTTTTGGCAGAGCAATTGTAAAGCGCGCAGAGATCACTGAGAAAACAGTGGGGTTTCTAAAAATTGATCTTTTCATGAAACCGGGTTATATTTTAATGCACAATATTTAAAATGTAAAATGTGTTTGCAATGGGATTATTTCGGATTTGTGTTGAAAGAGAATCAAATTTAAAGCCAGATTTACCTCAATGTCACATGTATCCTGTGTCCCAGATTTCCAAGCACTTGACTTGCAGGCCTGTGAGGCTTTGCAATCTAAATGTATTTTTCAAAGCAGGCTGCCTTGCCTCCACCTCATCACATCTGTCCACAAGCAATGTGCTTGTGTTGAGACTTCATGGAGTCCGCTGGACCACATCCAGTGCACGTAAACACTGAGTAGGTTTCAAAGAGCAGGTTCATTCTTGGAAAATCGGTCTTGTGTTTACGCTGTTTAATAGCCACTTGAAAGAAAATATCCTGACTCCGCGGAATAGACCCATCAGCCAAGGAGAAGAAACTCACTGAAATAACATTCTAAAGTCACCGAGGTTATCTTCCCCATTGTCTTCCCACACTTCACTTTAACCTTCAAGTTTTTTTCCCTTTAAAGATGCTTCCAGTTTCTTTAGTTTATGTAGCCCGATGCTTACGTTCAGTGAGGTCAAAGCAAGATGAGCGCTACAGTTTGTTCCCCTCCTTGTCCTCCTCCTTAATGTGAACCATTACCCTTCAATTGCTGCTCCTTAGGTGTTCGTCAGAAAAATGACTAAACTAACTCGGCTGAAACTGATGGAGTTGAGTGATAGCCAAGGCCGGGCCTCAGATGCGAAATGTTCTGCTTGACCCGTAAGGCTGCCCTTGCTCATCCATATTTTACAATATTGTGGTTTTCAAATCTCTGATGCTAAAATAATTTCAACTCAAAAGATTTTGACGTGTTTCTATAACAACAGGGCGCTGCTTACAACTGGACGGTTTATTCTCTGAGCAGGTTATTTTCAAAAGGTTTATTGATGTGTTCTGTCTCTTCAGTTCCTGCACTAATTTGAGAGCACAAAATTGGGAAAAAAAAAGACACAGAAACTAGCACACAGCTGGTACTTTTTAGAAAAAAAAGTTATTAAAAATAATGCCACAGAATAACGCTGAATTCCGCGACTGAGGAACATACATTTATTTTACTTGTGTTATACACAGAATAATCTCATATGTGTGTGTGTGTGTGTGAGGGAGAGAGAGAAACGAAGGTGATAATTCATTGAATGTATCCAAGAATGGTGCTTTAGAATTCCATGACCAATCTAAATATCTCACCAGAGACTGCAACTTCCAAGACATTATTTCAGATGTGAGTTATGAATCTTTTCATGCTCCTGAAAGAAGCGCTGTAACTCACTATTGCTCTTGACATGCCATATTTTTCTTTTGGCTGCTCTGTCAGAAGGCTGACTGACTCCCTTCTGTTTTTCTTTAATTTTTCATTCCTGTTGTATTTCCACCTCTTTACCACCTCTCCTTTCACTTCCCGCTTGGAAACAAAAACTTGTTTTTGTGCAGTTTCCTAAAGGTAGGATTGTATGACATGGAGATTGATTGAGCAGTTACTTGTTTGGTCTCGTGATGTGACGTTCTGAGATGTATCTAATACGAAAAATTGTCACTGTTGACAAAATCACCATCAAGAAAAAAGCCCAATGATTTGAGTATCTTTGTTCCATTCAGAACTAATTTGATAACCATTTAGAGCTATCAAAAATATAAACTATTTACAGTACTGTATTTGTGAGGGAATTTATCAGATAAACCTTAAAATATTTATGACTTGTGGTTTTGAAACTGTAAGTGGACAGCAGGCATGTTAATGGAAAATCTGAATCAAATATGAATGAGGATGATGGATTTTCCCAGATTATTCTATCATCTCAGGGACCACATTGGCAATTCTATAACAAATTAATCATCAAAGCACGTGCCACAGTCAGAGAGTTATTGAGAGAATATCGCTTTGGAATACTAGAATCTGGTTTGATTACAAAAAGACTGATTACCTGGCACTTTAATCTTTTATTTCTGATAATAGCTTTAGAATTTTCTTTTTGTTGTAGGTTTACCAATTTCTGAGTTTTTTTAAATGCTTCTTACATTTACATTAGAGTTCGTGCTGGGGATTATTGCTTGCTGTTCAAGGGTGAAATAAGGTAACTGGAAGACAGTTGTCACTAGTTCTGGCCTGTTCAATTTACTGTTTTTAATGGTTATCGAGGTGAGTCAGCCAGCGGTTATTCTTAAATTCACACCAGTGACTATGATGTGAGCCATCTTATCACAGCTGGAGTCTTGTGCTCAAAGAAGGATTAGAGTCCACCCTTATTTTTTATTTTATTTTGGAAAAGGAGCGACAGTTAATAGAAGCTGAGCTTGACAAATATTGTGTGTGTAGAAGCGAATTTAGTATGGCTAAATTTTGAATTTAAAGGCACCTACAAATTTAGTAAAACACTGGATTGCAATAGAAATACTAAGCCAAAATATTGGCATATCAGATTTCTGGGAACAAATCATTATACTATTACTTTATTATGATGAACTTTGCATTAGCAGCATGTGCAATTATCAATCATGCTTTTATGTTGGATGGTGCATCACCAAATATATTAACAAATCCACATTACCTATCTTGGAAAAGGAATGTTAAATTGGCAAAGATGAATGAATGTTTGATGTGTTTTGGAACAGTAACATCATTTATTAATAAACAAGGTATAA